GGGGGGGGGGGGGGGGGGGGGGAATGCCTCAGGATGGGAATAAACTTACTTCGTACCGATCTATTGGAGGGAAGATAAGAGCAATCCAATGAATGATGGGTCGATGACATCGGTAAATGACGCGTTTGCTAAGCTAACAAGCGGCATTATGATGCTTTCGCAAAACTTGCACTTTTCTCGTCTGCTCTCTTCTCGTTTCTATAAGTGCATACGCTCTCTACTTACTTCGGTATGAATGAACCCATATCAGTGGAGACCTGCTTACGTTACCCGCTGATCTGACAATATATCAGCGCCTGGACAAATGTCCTGTCGGATGAGATTAGTTTGACGTCACCTGACCTCATGGGTGGCGCCGACTCAAACGTTCTCACAGATCAATCTGTAGAAATGGCATGTGCAGAAAATGTGTTATTTGGTGTAGGACGCGCGACTTTACTTTCAGCTAATGTCTCTTGTGAGTTCCAGCGCCCAAGATCGCACAAGGACCAGGATGGCACAAATATGGGGTGTCGTGCACGGTCTATCTAGCTAGTCCATCTCAAAAGGTCAGGAAAGTTTCCCGGTCCCTTTAATCCTTGCTGTAGCCGAAAACCTAGGGAATATGTAGGGTGTTCCAAAAGTCGCTATGCAGTGCGATTCATGACATGATACACATTATTGTAGACAGTAAGTACATACAATAAATGATGTACACATGGGATGACGCTAGTGATTGGTGACGTAATGCGTGGTAATTTTTCTGATGACGCAATAAATGTGACAGTACAAATAAATACAGAAATCGTCTCCCGCGTTCGGATTGACAAAGCCTAATGCTGCCCACCATGTTTTTTTGTGACACTTCCTAATTCCTCAGGTGTAATGTCGATTAGGATGTTTGTTGTTTATTGCTTTTGAAGTTCTTATGAATGGGGGTTGTCCACATGCACACGTTGTTTCAGCTTTCCCCATAGATGAAAAGCAGGAGAACTCTTAGCCACACACTGAGAATGAGAAAGTATTCGATTTCCAAATAAATACAATTGAAATTCCACCGTACAGAACTCTTGGATCACTCTGTATAAGTCGCTCGCTATGCAGAAAGATCAGCATGCATAACAACGAACCACGAGGAACGTCGTCTTGCGGCTCGTGACCTTTCCATCCCTTAGTTGCCAATTCCAGTCTCGCTTCCTCGAAGGAGCTGCTTGTTGCGCTAATCCTACTGCTTTAATTACTCGGTTCCATAATGGAATGGGCCCCGTAGGTTAAACATGGCGAAAGGGAATGGTCGCATGAAACATCGTGGTGCATCATCGGTACGGAACGAACTCCTGATAAGGTTATGGTGAAGTGGTTGGTGGTATTGATGCTTATTTGAACATATATGTTATTGCGTGCGACCTGAAGGTAACATGGGACGAACTCATAAATAAATTAGAAGAATTTTCTTAGTGTTCGATGCGACAAACAGGAACTCATCATCGTCTGCTCCAATTCTTGTATCGGCTGGTGCCCAACATTATATATTTATTCCCTTGTTTGCCTGTTGCACGAAGTATGTGGTTCTAGTGTCAGGATGGCTGGTGAAGGAATATCTGAAATGGCGGGTGTAATCCGAAGCAAAGAGGATTTCGGATTTGATTCTTGGATTTCTAATGTATACTTTTTCTTCTTTATGTTATCAAATTGCATGACTTCTTCCAATTCTACTGTCTCCGTGTTTTCTATCATGTTTAGCTTATGCCTTTTTACTTGGAACTTTCATCCGTTACGTTACTGCTTTTCAATGGTGACAAATTTCATTTCGCAGTATGATAGATTTGCAGAAAATTAATTTTTTTTTATTGTTTACATTGGTGATGTTCTTACTTCTTATCGGACGTCTGACTTGTCATGAAGCGTCATATTTTATTTCATTTTTATATTGCATGGCTTAATCTTGCCCTTGACGTGGAATTTCTCGCATGTTCCTTTCCTACCGTACAATGCTCGTTACTCGTTTTATTCTTCTTTTTAAATCTATTCTACAAATTACAATATTTAAGTCCCCTCCTATGGAGCATCCATGGCGACCTAACTTCTAGCCAAAGTCAAGAATGATCTATCTGCTCGTATCTATTAAGGGAAAGCACTTGTATGAGGAGAGCATTTTCAAAAATTCGAGAAAGGCCAGGTCTTACCTTGTAAGATGCATTTGCCTATTGGATAAAATCCAGATACTTATTGGTAGAAAGGAAGGGAAAGAGAGCAGACGACAATAAAGTGAGTGTTTTGGCCATGGAAACACAAAATCAATTTGTGATTGGAGTCTTGTCTTGATGCACACCATGGATTGACAGTAATTCGGAATTACTTACTGTATTTCCGACATCCAAGAAGAAGGTGGTGATTCTGCATGTATGAATACTGCCATTCACAAGCATTGATATTGGTGAAGTCTACCAGAGATCCTTTTCATTCATCAATATATTTTTTTTTCTGTTATGGAATAGCTGATTTTCAGATTCTAGTGACATGCCTATTTCCTTTGGGTGTTTTGACTTTTGTAATCTGAAGGCATGAAGGTACGTGCTGACTTCTCAGATTTATGAATATTTGAATGCTTTGTCTTGGTGAGTGAACATGCACGAGATTTAAGATTTAAGTCTTAAGATTTCCCTTCTTGTCCATGTACAGAATATGGAGATGAAGGTTCTGAAAGGCAGCTTTCGTCCTCATTCAGCAAGAAGGAACGCTTCTTCTGGCAGTATAATGTGCAGGCAAAAGGCCCAAAAGGGCAACGGTTGGTTTTAACCCCATCTGAGTTGGATCCTCATCGCCTGGAAGAGATTGTGGATCCTGTCTTCAATCCTGCTGTGGCACTGCATGGAATTCGACACAGGTAGGTCAGCTCTCATCTGGAAGGCAAGGGAAAGAGAAAATTGCACTCCTTGTTCTAAGTTTTACCGTGAACTGTCTTCTTTGAGCAGTGGGAAGGCTCGTCGAGGAGATGGCAACGATCTGACACCCAATCCAAAGAAGCTCTTCAGTATTGGCAGGGAGTTGGATCATCTAAATGCTGTCATCAATGACATGACTCCAGTGTCAGAGCTTCCATTCACAGTGCGTCCACAGACTCGAAAGGAGAAGAATAAGCTTGCTTCAAGGTACATATTTGACTTTGACCATGTTTTTCATGTTGGTTTGTGTTATTTCTAAAAGGGCTTTCCTGTTTTGTGCAGAGTTTGTCGTTTGAAGAAGAAAGCCCAGCATGAGGCCAACAAGATGAAACTCCATGGCTTGGAACATGAACACAGTAAGTTTTTGATAGAATATTGATAACCCAACAATCTTATATTGGTGTCATCAACTGTTTCTGCTTAACTTTATCCTTCAAGCTTGTCTTTCACCCAATATGCATAATTGTGTGACTCTGAATTATGTGGAAACTATTGTCTTTTTAGAGCACTTGATGGATACCCTCTGGGAGGTGAAAAAACTGGTTCGTGTAAGGATGGGTCTTCCTCCGCCCTGTGTTGGCTCCCCCATGTCTCCTTGTCATTTCCCACAAGCTAAAGTTCCAGCTTTGGATGATGGTTCTCTTGAAGCACAAGTGGACAAGCTTATGAAGCATACTTGCAGTAAGTCATTTCCTTTTGCCTGTAGCTTATAATGAATTTTTAGCATTCCTGTGAAGTGTGTAGCAAGGGTACACAGGACCAGAATCATTAATTTTGTAGTTGAGACCAATGTAGAAATTGATGTAATGATTTCCATGCATAAACCATATAGTTGGGCATGTTACCAAGACCCAGGGAAGAGAAATCCTCAATCCTCAGATACCTCCATGCTATCTTGGCATCTGCCAATTTGCTCCTTGGAAGTTTTGAAGAGTTGAGAAAGGGAGTTGGGAAATCCATTCCCAGATAAATCCTAATAAAGGGAGCCAGTAAACTTGAGGGATGAGGCTGGGACAATAAATTCTTAGCTTTTGCTTCTATTCTGGCCTCACTACCTTTCAGTTGGATTGCAAAAGTAGATAGGGCTGTCAGAGCGTTGTACATATATTTAGGCCATATCTTTGTGAGAGTGTGTAGTAGGAGACAGTTCTGCAGATTCTTTCCCTTGCTAATGGCACCTGGACAGCAAGTCCACTTAATAATTTTTATGGCAACATAGAGTCAGAGGGGGTTTTATTTCTGAGAATTTTGCTAGGGAATGAAATGTATTGTGGTGAAGGAGGCATACATGACAGGAATAGGACAGGAATTCAGCTCTCTTGCCTGTGAATGGTTAATACTGGCCACTTTATTGGGCTCAGCAATATCTCAAGATCTCATTTTTGGGATGTGATGCAACTAAGCAATGCACTAGTTACTCAGACCTGTTATCTGTTCAATGAACCAATGCAGCTGGGTTTGCTTTGGTCCAAAACCAGGTCATCATGGAATTGGTTCATGATTACATCCTTGTTCCATCTATCTATTCACTTGGGTAGTCACATCAGTCAACCTCTTAACCATCTTTGCTCATTTTTCTGAAGCCTCCTATGCTATGGTAGCAGCCATGACATATTGTAAATGAACAATAATAATAATGGCTTATTTTCCTATCAAAATTATGGTGTATCTATTGCCCTGGTAAAATAAAGAATAAGAAATAAAAGCAAGGAAAATAATATCAATGGAATATAAAATAATGGTCAGGAAATTTTCAAAGAAGAGAGGAGTAAGCAGCTGAGGGAGAAATGGAGCAAAGAGGGAAAAAAAAGAAAATAAATTGTGAACATCAAGCATCAATATACATAGGGAAATAAATTTCTGCAACCTTGCAGAATCCCAGTTTGTCCCAAAGGATGCTTGGAATCATATTCCTTCAATGCATCTCAGTTCTAGCCTTAGGCATGCCACTGTATGTTGAGTGGGCAAAATATTGGATTTGTCTGGAACAGCATTGACAAGGATTCTCATATGTTACAATTGCATGAGAACCTGTGGCAGATGCAGTGAGAACCGTCCAAATGAACCTTCTCCAGTTGATCTGTGGGAGATTATTCTGGTCTCCATACCCTCAGACAAGGTGTTTTTTATGCACCTGCTCATTGCAGGGTATGGTAACTCTTCTAGAGAGAGGAGACCATCTTGAGTACTAGTTTCTGGATCTGGATCCTATGATATGAAATGCTGGCACTGTGTTGGATTGCTTGGCCATCAATTTCCATAGGATGGACGAAGTTGTCTTGTTTGAGAAATGTTTTTCAAAAGTTGATGATTAGTTCTTTCATAGTTCTAGCTGCTTCCTCACTTCCGATGTGGTGGTACTATCAGATGAGGTGCATTCCAATGTGGTGATGTCATCAGATCAGTTCTTTCATTTTGGATATTTGTGAGGGCTGGGTGGGGTGCTCAGTCTTCTGTGTTGAAGCGTTGCATATGGATTGCGATGTCATCAATAGCAATGCTGAAGTTTCTATTTGAAGATGAGACACTTTTGTGGTGTCGCCAATTTTGCAGATGGCTGAGTATCACTCCTTCCCCACTGACCCTCTTGTGTGAATGCTGAGGAAAATGCACTTCTTGAGGCCTATCACTTGCTCATTGGCATTTTGGAGGCATTGTACTCCCATCTGTATCCTGTTTCAGGCTGGCCCCTTGATCTTGTCTCAGATGAGAGCTAGTACTTCGTTGTCAATCCATGGTCTACCAGGAACAGAGGCAGTGATTTCAATCAGTAGGCACAGGTCTTGTATGAGAGAGATGTAATCCTGGATTGCTTCGGCATGCATGTCCTAGTCATCATCGCAAAACGCATCCTGGTCTGTGGTCCTAAATTCAAATCGCAATCGTTCAATGTTCTCCTCTCTCAGGGATCGCATCTTCAATTTTCTTGGGCTATGGGCAATGCAGTGTTTGGGCCTTGGATCACACCTTATCATGTGATGGTCCCTATTGCTTAGGGGAGCAATGATTGTCTTGTAAAATGGTATGTTGCTGAAGAGTAGGTAGAATATTATATATATAAGTTGAATACTATATGTAGTGATTCCATTTGCAAAATTGCTCACAAGCTGAATGCATCTTGATCTTTCCTCATGCACACTGGCTTGCTCCCATTGGTATAAATTAGAATAAGAATGAAAGAAATACCCTTTAAATGAGTGAAGCAAGAATGCTAGAAGTAATTTTGGATTAAATTTCTACACATTGAGCTGCAGTTGGTACTCATTGTGGTTTGGTTAGATACCCAACATCCATGAATCTGCTGGACAGAATTATGTAATGAGCATTCAACTTTAAGAAGGTTGACTCTATGTAGATTTGAACACATTTTGGTAGTGAATGATTGAAATCTTCATATTATCATCTTATATTTAAATCAGCAGATGAAGTTCTGAGAATGTTAACACTAAATACCTTGACCTTGTGAACTCTGCTGGCTTATCAACTTATGACAATCTGGTACTGAGGCAACCTACTTATGTTCGGTAAGGTGTTATGCAGGCTTAATGCATCTGCTACATAGGTGTCATTTTAGGCAGCTATTGGTCACTGGGCATTCTTCTTGAATCTGATTTCTTCTAAATGGTTTGGTTTTTTTTTCCCTTAAAATTCCTCTCTGTGCTTGGGATGTAGAGTCCTGGACTAGCATCCAGGAGATATTGGGTTCTAATCCAATTAATGGCAGGTGAATTATTTTGCAATGGTTCACCTGGCTGATTTAAGATATTACCTGCTTCCTTGAGGTTCAGTTATTTTGATATTTTGGACTTTTTTGACTGCACATAGGAGTTTCATTACCTGGGGTGCAAACGTTTTTGTTTTTACCATATGTCCATGAAGTCATCAAAAGGGTGGGTCAGAAACCACAATTGGTTTTGGTCCCAAAAGAGCAGGGAGAGGGTGATATACGAGTATGTCTTGTGAGTAGCAACATGCTGACATGTAGAACAAGGCAGGGGTGCCAAGTGTTGATATATTGCTCCCCAATCCTCTGGTTGGCATTATGTTGTTCAGACTATGCACATTGCTGGTTTGTCATTCCTCCAGTTCAATTGTTTGTGCTACTTGGGCAACTTAGCTTGCCACCCCTGTTTCTAAATGTGTATGGTATAGTAGGTCTGAATGTTATGGTATGCATTCAGATTTCTGATTCCCTATGGTCAACCTGTACTAGGAGATGACTAAATGTGATTACTTTTGCAACAACAAAAAAAAATTCTTTTTTGTTTACTTCGTTCTTCCTCCCCCCCCCAACTCCTTCTTTAATGGAGATTTCTTTTGTCCTTTCAGAACATCGAATAGCTGGACACACCACAGAGTATGTGAACAAGGTGCTGGAGAAGGTGAAGTCCAATTCTTCATTGGGATCCTTGGAGGAAGTGTAATCTTTGTGTTTAGTGTTTTTCGTTTCCATGGTACATCAGGAATGCCTTCCCATATCCAGATATCCGTGAATTTTCTTTACTTTTCATGGAGTGATGTCTCATTGGTTTTTGGATGAAAATGGATTGCTCCTCCTGCTTGATCGCTCAAAATTTTTTGTTGTTGATACTAGATTTGTAAATACCTTTGAATTGTTTTTATGAAGAGAAGCACTTTTACTTTGGTTCCAAACTCTGTCCTTCTCTTACATGCTATTTGATTGGGTTATAGGAGATTATTTCTGAGTCTGAGTCAAGTTATACCCAAAAGATACAGTATAAAGGAACTATACTGTGAACAGGAGAGGTATCAAATATTCCATCCATTGACTTGGGAGAGCAGTTGATTGGTCCTGGATCATGTAAATTACTAGACTCCCAGATGTCTTAAGAGCATACAAATGACATGCTTGGATACAAGGGAGCTTAAGAAGGTACTTTGGAAATTGTTTGCATGAAAGATGATGCTGTCAGGCTCTGCGGAGCTGCCAGACGTGACCCTGTCTACTTCTAATAACTGGTTTTTTCGAGGAATGGTTCATGAGGATTCATATCTACAGGGGAAAATGTGATACTCTCCCTCTTGCTTCCCCCATGGATGCCTTCAATGTTGACAGACAAAGGAGCCCTGTTATTCTTATGCCTTGACGTGGTGCCATGAGAAGTGGTTCCACTATCTCATGGCTTCCTCTTTTCACACATTGGTCAGTAGAGGATGAGTGACCCATTGAATTCACTTTTTGCTGAATATTTTTTATTCCTTTAGGATTAATGAGTGTGTGGTTTTATCATTTCGTATTCATTTCCTAAGGCTAAGTGGCTTTCAATTTCTGATTAGCCAACACTAGTGTCAAACTGAGGACTGGCTACTTAGATGTATCCTAGTGTTGGGAGAACTTGACAAAAACTCCACTTTGGTGTGTGTGTGTAAAGGTGGTCTCTGTAGGGATCTATGATCTGCTTTATGGAATTGTAGATATCTAATTGCTTGATATGTGCTGCATTGAGGAGTCTATTGTGTCATTATGGGGATTTGAGAACAAAAAAAAAAGGTTCTTATATTTTCCATCGTATGTGACAGAGGGAGTTGCTCAGACTGTATTTCCTTTGTGCAATCTTATTCCCGGTGTTTTTAATGTCATTTTGTCCTGCAGTTTTAAATGTTTGGTTTTTTTTGGCTGTTAATGGGCCCATATCCCGGTGTTGCATGCTAAATTTTGCGGCAGTGATAGATCCAAATGTAGTGTCATGCTGTTTTGTGCAAACAATTAATGTGGAATGGGTGCTTTGTCTGGCATTGAGATCTGTGGATATGTTGGGAAGTCATGAAACCAATGTGAGATTTTCTGCTGATGACTGAAGTTGAACTCTCTTCTGTAAGTTAGCCTTCTGAGTGGTGATCAAAGGCTTCTAAAGGAACTAGCTATGATTCCTGAGTTGATGAGCAACTGCTTCTTTTATGGAATCATTCAGACTACCTCAGAAAAGACTTGTTTAAGCCGGGTTGACAAGTTCCATATTGGTAATTTTACAATTTATCCTTTGCACCTGAAACTGAAGAGAAGGGTTAGCTCTTTAGACTCCCACCTCTTCTGTTTTGTTGCAGTTATCAGTTTTTGCTACAGGTGACATTCCATGCCTAGCTCATTTGTCATCTTGAATTCATTCTTCAGTATGTACAAAGCATTTTCTAGTGTTCATGGCTGTACACCTACCTGTGAAACCGGGCTGTGATATGAACCCATAAAAAGGAGGGGAAAAAAGGGCCGCATGTGGTGTAGTTTTGTAATTACGAAGCATCTAGTTGACCTGTTGTTGTTGATATCCAATATGAAACGAGACTTGAGATCTAATAAAAGAAACCAGAAAAAAGAATATTGATTGGCTTTCTTTTTTGGGCAAGGGAGGGAAAAACACATGATTGCTCTTGGTCTGTCCAAACTTTGTCATGTGCAGCCTGTGCATGTCTTCATTGTTGGACAACTAAAAAATACATTACTTAATATCTTATACATTAATACTCAGACAACATAATTGCTTTAAAAGTTTGTGTTATGTTGTAAACTCAGATTTCATACTTGAAATCTATTAACAAATTAAATTTATTCACCTTTATGACCTGACTTGAAACTTACTTGGTTGACCAACAGGGCCAGAGGCCCAGTATCACCCTCTGTGGGAAAGTAAAAGAATATATTCATTTTACAATTTATGTGAAGGACACTCAAAACGATATGGGTGACAAGCATGTTAGTAGGTGTTAATCCTTGGGATTTATTTTTCCACATGTTCCCCTATACATTTGACCCTCCTGTGCATAAGCTTGCATATGCCTGTGTTAAAGAACAATGTGTCCTGGCACTGAGGCTAATTATGTATGGCTTATTGCATCTCACTATTGTGAAATGAGTTTTCTTAAGGGAAAGGGGCCTGAAGTGATGGTAGTCACAAGGGCTGTATGGTGGATGTAGCAGAACCATCAAGCCAAGAGTACTGATTGCTGCAGTAGTCCTCCATGACATGAATGGCTTTGGTGGCAGGCCATTGAGATATGCTAGCATGTACACAGGTGAGGTATGTGTCCTGCTATGATGATTTTGTCAGTTAGACTAATAAAAAAAATAAGGATTTCCAGGACAAAAATTACTTTTCATCCCATTGAAGTCTCTGAAGAAGACTCTATTGTAGTGAAAATTTTTTAACTTTCATTGCCAAATTTAAAAACCCTGGTATTCCTGAGGTGAGAACAAAAATGACAACTGCAGTGAAAGAATTAAAGTAATGCACAACACTTGAATTAGAAAAATGTATTCTACATATGTACCTCTCAGTAGTCTTGCTGACATTTCCCATTTCTCATCCATGCTTGCATGCAGCTATCACAGTCACGTGAAGGGTGTCATGTGCCCTCCAGTGGAGGGCACATGACACACATGAAGGATGTTAATGATCAAGAGGATGTTATGGAATTTCCTCCATAGCATTCATGGAAATGAGAGAGAAATTCATTTCATTTTCCTTGCTTCAACAAAATGAAAATTTTGATGCTAAGACAAGAAACAGAAGATATGGATCACACAAATGCTGGGTGTACTTTATCACAGAAGGATTTTATCACAGGCAGCACAGAATTACGAAGTGCAGCATTGCATTGCTCATATAAGTGTAGCATTCAGCATTTTTTTTAAGTCTCAAAGAAAAGGGTTGGGCAAGTTATATATGTGTAAATATATATGTCCAACATGATATTCATTTCAACTTAAAAAGAGAACTGTTTCAGCCAAAGTGACACATGGCAGGAGCCTTGAAACTCTATACATTATGATATTTACAAAGTTTTTTTTCCCAGATTTGATTAGTAAATGCAAACAAGTAATTTTAATAATCTGTTTGCATTCACTGACACATATGTCATGATTGCAGTTGATTCATTTGGCAAGTGAAATTTCATTCAGAGTGAAAAGCAAAGCAAAGCAAAAAAAAATTTCTTTTAAACATCTTAGTGAAATAAGGTTTCACAGTATTGTATACTACAGTAGATCAATTTTACCTAAATCAAGGATTTCAAAACAAAGTAGTACCAGAATGGTTAAACATTTGAGTTGCTCCTTCTTACCTCAAGTGGGACTGGCTGGATCTCTTATTTTCCTTTTTTATTTTTCTTTTGCCCATATTGTCTTCAGGCACACTGAAAGTGCAATAAAGATTGAAAGATGAAAATGGAAATCTATCAGTCATTCATCAACATACAGGACATTGCACTTTTGAGACACCCTTTACAAAATCCTTCATGTTCCACTCATAAATGCATTGCCAGCCATTGCTAAAAAAAAAGTGCCTAATATTGCTGATATGGTAGGTATGATATATAGACTCACCTATTGAGACTGAACCCAGCAGTCTGGATCAGTTTCAGCTAAGCCAAATGGTGCAAGCTAACTGCAAAAGGTTAGAAAATGCTACAACTATGTACTTAATCAGATTCATGTGATTACCATTACTCAATTCAGAAGTTATATTTGATGTTAACAGGAATTTTCCACTCGAGTATCAATAATGCATACCAGATAACCCCTTAATTAAGCCAGAAATGGAGAGATTTCAAGAACTTTATTGATTGCAAACAAAATAATTATGATGAACAAGTCAAAGATTTCAAAAGTTATTCTGATAACCATTGAAAAGACATCATTGGCATATTTAAGCAATTTCCACCACATACGCCATGTTGTTGAATCCAAAACTGAAAAGAAAGAGTCAAGAAGAACTTGACTCATTCTGTTCAAACAACTTATGAATTGTAAGTAAATGAATTATTTGAAAATTATACTTATTTCTATTTTTCCCTCAGTATGAGGATGATTTTCAGAGACCAAGTCAAAAAATAGTAAAAATAGCCCATTTATTTGTTGACTACACTTGATTAAAAAATGTTATCAAACTCTATTAATATGCCAAAGGATAAGCAATGAATTCACTGCATGGTGGTACCACATGGTATGAAATACCATGCAGTACTACCATCTACAACCATTTCATACTACATGGTGAAAACTTGACTCACTGCTCTAAATATTTTCTCTGGCTTCTGGGCTTCATGCATTAATAGACTCTGCCACACTTATGACTCACTGGAATTCAAACATTTGTCCAAACTGTAATACCAGCCTTTGGACCACTCATACCTTTTATCTTAGTGCTCACCTGCCAGTATTGTTCCCCTGCCTCTTCATCCCCTCAAACTCAATAGTCCTCTTTCCTTTTGACCCTACTTTAAATGTTGCCAGATAATGAGGAAAGGTTCAAGAGTCATAATTCCATGGAGCTCACAGGATTCAATGAAGTACTTTTTCAAAATCTCATATGAAGATTTTGTATCACATTGGTTCCATGCCACTCCATTTCACTGCAAGATTGATTCAAGATTGCATTGATTCAAGTGAATCAATTAACACATTCACTGCCAGCCTCCAAAGTCAATTTCACAAGCATTTTTGTGTCTTTTTCCTAAATCTGCAGTGTCTGGAGTCTGGAAGGATGTGGTCAAAGAGAAGATAAGACCATCTATTACCTAACAGAGCATCTAACACTTGAACTAGTGAGTTAGCTTATTCAAGTAGCTGATTTAATATGACTTTTCTCAATTGTTAATGGCAGAGAATGTGTTTTAAAAAAAAATCAGAAAATATTACTATTCTTTCTCACAGGCTGACAGAGCCCATCATGACATCATCATGGAATAAGATTATGAGTCTACTTGAGATATGGGGGAATGGTCAACAAGATAGGCATTATCTGTTTGCCATGATCCCTGATTGCCTTTTTGGTTAAGATTTCAGCTGGATTCTTGACATCCTGGTAAGTTAGTCACTTGTTGGGAGGATGAGAGAAGGATAGGGAGACTTATGAAGGAAATGAATTATACCTTATTGAATTGAGTGACGTGACTTCCAAATGCAAAAGCAACATCAAAGTACATTTTCCTCATATGATGCCAATATGCCTGTGACAAAGAGTACACCTCATTCATTCTCTGGATGACCAGGGGGGACATCTTAAGATAATTTCCTGAGTAGTTCACACCAATAGAGAATGATCTAAAGAAGCAGGCATCAGGGATGTGTGAGCTCCTGGGATATGATCATAGGAGCCTTCTCCCAAGTGTAAGCTCAGAATGAAACTCCAGCATGTGAAAAAAAGCCAACAGACTGCCTATTGCCCCTCCACAAAGAAAATCCCAGGTATGGGATACACTTCACTTGTCCCATGAGAGACTAGAGCCCTCATGCACCCATGCAATAAAAGTTAACTTTTTATTTTGTTATTCATGTTAATTTGCTGTTATGAAGTAGCTTGAAGCATATGCATTCCTTGAGTTTGACTGAAGTATCTCTGAAGCATATGATATGAACCATGATTGCACATGAATAATATTATCCCTGTCTTAGTTAAGAAAAACCTTTTTTGTGGCTGAGAGCTGGGGGTTGGAATAGGAGGGGAAAAGATAAGGTTTTCCTTAACTGAGACAGGGATAAATGCTTTACTGTCCTCACATGACAAAAAGGCAAGACTTTCCACTTAACCCTTTAATGCATGGTGTAGCAAATAGGCTACATTTCAAACAAAAAAATATAACAACAATAAACAACAAAAATAAAATGCAGCAAAAGAACAATAAGTGCAATGATAATAAGTTCAGGCATTCAACTTAAAAATTTGAGGGAGGAATTTTCCATGTTCTTGGACCTAGGAAACTGACCAATTTTTTTCACAGAATACTAAAAAAATGATGCATTAAAGGGTTTAGCCATCTGTTACTTCCGTTGTCTTCTATGTCACACCATGAATGTTTGTGAAATTGTGAAGCACCATTCAAGGACATGATGTTAAATACTCCATAGTAATTCAAGGAATTGAATAACGTGTTTTTTTTTATGGTTTTCCCTTAATCATCAGTAGTAATTTCCAGTTGGAGCTGTACTAATGCATGCAGCCCAAATAGAAAATACACAAGGGATACACAAATTCATAGGAAAAACACTCTACCATCCCTTCTCTTTGCTGACAGCTACAGGAGTTTCCTGACAACCTCCTATCACTTATCAACAAGTTTTTAAAAGTGATATAGTTTCCTGGCAATATGTGAACACTGACATGACACACAGCTGCAGTCATCTCAATGAAAGTATTGACTAAGTATGTTATACAAGTTGACCATCATCCGTATAAAGTACAGCACTACAACTCTGTCCCATGCAGAAAAAGCTCAGAGGCTGACAAATCTCTATACTCAAATCTTATTTACCAGTCTAAATGACTCACCTGACCTGAAATGCACACATTTCATCTATATTTCCAGCTCTATCACACTGAATGCCTTTTTTCAGAATCTGGCAAACATAAAAGCAATCTGATAAGTAACCTGATATTTGCATATATACTTGCAGTGTCTTGAGGTCTGTTGAGTAATGAAAATATCATGGATCTCCATTAAACTAAGTTGGCTGGGTACGAAGGCATTTGAGTACCACATTGGAAATGCTTCAGCAATTTGCATGCAATTTATATGCTGAGGTAAAAACTCTACCTATCCAGGAAAGACTTCTGTCTTTCCTGGATAGGTAGAGTTTTTATAAGTACATGGCCAAGAATGTTATCATGAAGTTCTCCTATGTTGGAACCATAAAATGGAGATAAAACCTTTTAACAAGAGGCTTTCTTGGACTGAATGAGAGCTGCCTATTTGAACTGATAAAAGGCAGATGGTTAAGGAGGTCAAGTGGAGAAAAATAAGGCCTTCTTTCTTTCTTATTGCAGAAGTCAGGCTTCTGCACTCAGATCAATGCCGTACAGCATCACAAGGAACACTTGAGTGGGACTACATGTCTTTGGTCCTGCCAATAAGACTAGACTAGAGAGAGGCCATGGACCCATGAGCTGAGATCTCCTATACTTGAGACTTCCAAAGTTGTGTGGGACTGGGGAGACCAAGGTCTGGAAGGTGTAGGGGTGCTTTTTACTCCTACAGCCAACCCTGCATCTCTCCCAGACAAATAGGCACCATGAACAGTGGAATAGAATGTTGGATGAGTGTGCTCTCCAGCAAATAGCAGCACTGGCTAAAGGAGAAGGAAAAAACAACACAAATTTACTAATATTGTACAGACAAAGCTCTGACCAATGTCAGGTGGTGGGGAAGCTAATGATAACACACCTTTTCATGGAAAGGGGAAGCATAGATGGGCTGAGATAAGCTCTCCATGTCTATCTGCCTGCTGCCAACAGGTATGGAAGTATATGATCCTCTGGAACCTGGTTGCTGCTTCCAAGATGTCCTAAACAGTGGCCATTGATATTGCAATCATTTTTCAAGAATCATGAGCAAAAAATTTAAGAATGATTGTAGAATGTTTGAACTTACCGTATGCAATGGATTGGTTTTGGCACATATGGGTCCTTGAGAAATTTACGCAGGATATCTGTGCACTGATCAGCAATCACATCAGAATCTAGGTGTTCTGCATATTCAGCAGCCTCTCCAGATAACCAAGCAAGGAGCACACCATCGGACATTTTTGTAAAGGAATATATTTTTTTGAACCAACACTGTTCAATAGGTTCCTGCTTCTGTTCATCTTCCCAGAGGATAATAATTTCAGATAAACTTGGATGGAGGAATGATCGATCATAAATCAAGTAGATCTTGTTTACTGTTCCAAACAAGAGCCTCTGGATTGAATCTACTTTGTACTTGGGGAGCGGTGGATCAAACATGGTGTTATAACTCTCTTTGAGAACTCCCAGAGGGAGGGTGCATATAACATGCTCTGCATAAAATGTGGCTCCATTCTCACATTGTAATTCAACAACAGGAATGCCATCTGAGCGCTTGCATTTTACCCTTCCTCCTAAATGAGGATCACTTGTGCTCCCTGGTTTTTTGATCAATTCTGAAGCTAGAGATGCTTTCACACTGGAAAGACTTTCTTCCAAGGTGACTGTATCAAGACTTTGTTCCTGGGATGTTCTTCCAACAATGGTAGCACCAGACTCCTCTGACTCAGTCTCACTCTCACTGTCACTGACATGTTCACCTTCTCTACTGTCCAGGCAACATTCTTCCTCGTTCCAGGTCAACCTCCACCGTATATGCTGCACCACATGCTTCTTCAAGATCACATGTTCTGGGATGGGCTTCAAAAGCACAGGTAATATGGAACTGTAGCCATTCTTCAAGAGGAGATTCCCACCAGGCAACTCAGTGTAGCTGCCAATTTCGTACAGGTCAATGTCATCCATAGAGTTACAACCACTGATACACGTCTCCCGATTCAATAAGTGGTTGAAGAGCATCCTCCTCATGTGTTGTTCTTCTGGAGAGAAGTCTTGCAGATAAATGCTAACTTCCAGATTCACATGGTCCCCTACACTGTAAATCCCTTCTGGAGGTTCATACTTGGAGAGGAAATACTCCTCGCAACGTCGGAAAAAGATGGAATATGCATCATACACCTCCTAAATTCCAAAGAAAGAAGTAAAAATACAGAGTCAGTATTGCTTTACTTTCCTTCTTTTGCTAAAATGACAGTAGTGACCTGCATAATGTTTACATGTGACATGGCTAGGGATTTTTTCAAATAGATCAATTTTTTTTCAGAAGAAAAGTAGCTTCTAAAAACTAAAAGTGAATGATTTTTTTATGTCTCACATTAAAAATCATAAAACTTCATGCCTGACACTAAAACATTACAATAGGCATTAATGAAGCTGGGACCAGTATATATGCTCCTGGGCTGGACCATGGTCTGATGTTATTCAAGTAATTCCCTTTTTCTTTTTACTCTGGAATGGTAGAGTGCAATATACACAATATTGGTAATAAGAAGACTTACTTCATTACTGATGCATCTCAAATCACATGAGAGAAAAAATCTCAGACATTCAAATTTATTTTTGGACCATTTTCTTCAGAACAATCCAGTCATTGTTTAATCATAATTGCAGAGTATGCATCTTTATCTTCACATCAAGGGTTACATTTGGTTTTTGTGCTTAACTGGAAAAGGCCATTCATATACAGAGCTGGTACTCAGAATTCCAAGCCTTTGTGCATCACAATTGCTTAGAATCAGTAAAGAAGAATGCACACAAAAACAACTTTCATACAAGACTTTCATTCTTATCCCTGGACTGATGTGGTGGGGTGTAACAAATCCCAAGGACTCTTGTGCAGAACAGGGGTGTGCCTCTCTAGTGCTTTTTTTAAAATTTATTTTAGAGCTATGTGTGTGACAAACCCATTACAACATTATAGCTCCAGCTTCCATTGCTGTGTACTACACCCCACCACACCAGACAAGTAAAAAGTCCAGGGTCCACTTTCAGTCCTTCTCTTAATACAAAAAAGGGACTCCTAATGTAACCCAGGATATCTAAAAAGTATTAACTCCCAGCAAGCTCAATTGCCTAATATTACTCATCACCATTCATCAATAGGCTTGCATTTCAAGGAATATTCATCACCTGAACAATGTGGAATGGAACACGAGTTCCCTGTTCTGTCAATGCTACCAGATGATGTGGCTTTGGCTGATAATTTATGTCCACCAACTTGTTTGACAATGCAAGTTCAAACATAGGATTTCCCAGAACACCATGTATCCAACTGGCTCCCAGTTCCAAGTGATGACCACCTAGTAGAAGGGAAACATTTAAGTTCAGTTACATCTTGGGAGATCTTAAGAGACAATACTGCATGTAATGCTTCACCAAAATTTGGATCACTTCATCTGCCGAACTGGACAGTGAAACACGAAAGAGCTTACCAATGTCAATGCCACACATTCGTCCACCAAGGCGATTCCTACTCTCCAAGATGAGGAAATTGGTCATGTGAAACTTGGCGAGGGCATTGGCAGCTGAGAGGCCAGACACTCCACCCCCTATGATTATAACTTTCTTGATTTCCAGTCTTGAGATCTTCTTCTTTGCAGTTTTAGGGGCATCATCAACCCCCTTGCTGTGTGCCATGCCATTCAAACACCCCCACACACATACACTGAGACCTACATGCACCAGAGATCAGAGAAGCACAAACACAGCTCATGAACACAACCATTCCAAGGATGCAATAAAATTATTGGTCTTCCATGTGAATTTATGATGTGCTGTTTTAATCAGATCCCTGACTGTGACACATTGAATTTTGTCATGCTCCCTTTTTAGGGGCATGGGATTTGCTTCAATGAGGATCTGGAATAACCCACATCATGCCGACTGTCACATGATGCCTCCACCATTGAACCGCAAGGAAAAATTAATATCAAGATGAAATATTGCAATAAAATATTGCACACGAATGGATTTTATTCAATCACAATGGGATGAAATCAGCAGCAGCAGCTATTAAACGTGGTTTCTTAGCTTTTGGTTCTTCCTCTTTTGCACCACCATTGTGACACTGAGTAGAGTGAGTCTGCGCTTCCTCCTCAGAGGGAGAAATGTCTTCCACGTGTTCCATTTCTTCTTCAGAATCTTGCATCTCTTCAACTTTTTGAGTGATTGGTCTATCTTTGTCAGGTTCTTCACTTTCCAGCAAACCATCAAGCTTCCATAACTCACTCTCTGGGAAGTCACTGAGAGGAATCACACTTGCCACTCCCTTCACTGTTTTTCTGGTTTCTGTAACACATGAAAAACCCATAGCATCTCATCAGAGTAAAGGAACTTTTGTAGCTATTCTTGGCTGCAAATTTACATGTTCACACCCTATCATATAAACTCAAATACTCAATTGCTTTGCTCAATTCATGTAAAATAAAAAAAGTTGAGTTTATATCCATTCCTTGCTGGGAACAGAAACTTCATAAGTAGCCTAACAAATAGGATTCATCTTTCTCATCCCTCTCTTCTCCATGTCTATACTGAGAAACTTATGATATGAAAGAGTAAAAGGCATGGAAAATAAACTTTCATACTAGTAGAATAATATTATCAGTTTGTAGCACATAACTTGAACACATATAGAGGCTTGCACCTCCTGCAGTCCTTAAAAATCTCAGCTACAGGAACCATCCAAGCAACACTAATACAGGATGGTTATGAAGCCAAGATGAATTTCAATTTTTTTTTTGTGCTAATACCAGGCAGCTCATACCAATTATTTAGGCATGTACGAGGGCTGGTCAAAGAGTTCCCGGAAAAAGTGACTTCTTATTGTCCGATCCCCACGATTTTTTCACTGTGTATTCTTACATATCTTAATAGTTTTCCCTTCTAATTTCGGATCCCTGCGTTAAAATGGAGACTCGCAAGCGCGCGAGAAGTGAAACGAGTCAGAGGGTCTTGCTACCCTTGACGAACCGTGACAAACGCGTTGCAAAATATTTTGAGAAGTACTAATATGTTAAAGAAAGTATCCTGAAAAAATTGGCGAAATCAGAGAACAATAAAAGCATTTTTCCGAGAATACATTGACCAGCCCTCGTATATGTAAAGAAAGTCATGGGTTTACAGGTATGAGGAAGATGTAATGAAGAAACTCTGACACAAGGCAAATGGAAGTGCAACATCTATGGCATGTAATGACATGAAGGAAACTTTGATTACATGTAACTACCACAAGGAAATGTTCAGGCATCAAAATTTTATTAGGATTTTTATCAGCATGAATAAATACAAATATAGTATAAAAACTGCCACAGAACCCTATTTATATGGTGGGTCTGAGAATTGAGCACACATCATATTTTGAAGATGAATCTGTCCAACAAAATCCAGAAAAGATGATGCACCATCCCCTAACATATGTTTACTCTCTTGATGTAACAATACACAAGCAAACTCACCAGAATGCATTATCACAGCTCGGCAGGCCTTGGTGATGGCATCTTTGGCTTGACTTTCTTTCAGGCCAAATAGCAACCCTCTGTGAAGTCTCAGTAAAGGAAGGCTACTTCATCAAGAATCCTCACTATGTATTTTAAAAAAAAGAGTAATTTCTCAAAAAGGATACATATTGGCAGCATCAAAGGGAGTCCTCATATCCATTGATCTCTCTGCTCCACTGGATATGATGATATTCTGAGGCATCAAAGATGAGAAGTAGTTATTTAGTTGATAAGCAATTACTGTTCTGAGCTAAAAAAAAAAAATAATAAAAAATAAAAAAAGGCAGAAGAAAACTAACACTTCAGAAGCTAACACAGAAATTATAACAACAAACAGAGAATTAGGTACTCACTTTGGCATTTCCCAAAGTGAAGTAATCATGACCAATGCTGATCATGTTCTTCCTTGCAGCAACATCCCTCAACATGGGAGAATATAGAAGTTCAAAGGAGACACCCCGCTTCACAGCAATGTTGTAGAGACGCCGATTCAAGCGTACTGGATACTTTGAAGTAGGGTCAATAGTGATGATATCAATGTCCATGACATTGCAAGCATGCTGCAAAGGTTTTGAGGGAAGGTAATATGTTATTGGTAAAAGAACATGAAAACCTGAGAGCCACTTGTCAAACTTTATTCTGCAAAACTATTTCAGTTCATTCCCTTTCAAATGCTAACAAATCTTTTAATGTTTCTGGCCCTTTTACTCTGAAATACAACACTTTATTGCTTATATTTGCAACAAAATGCCATGAAGGAACTCACCAGGAAGGCTGCTGGAGACTGAGGCAGAACTGCAAGGATGTCATATCTCTTTAAATTGGGACTTCGCATCTGCAGGAGAACCAGTTCATTACATAGCAAGAAGAAAATAAAATAATAAGATAAATCAGTTACATGGAATACCCACACTCAATGGAGAGGGAAGAGAACCCAGAGGGTTCCTTGATATGAAAGGATGTCATACAAAGCAATCCTAGTGTTTGAAATTGCACTGGTAACATTCCTGCAACAGAACTGAACTCTATTCTCTACCCAGATCCTCATAAGTAATCTTTCTTCTTGATGTAACCTATGCCCAAAAGAACACAGATGGGTATTTTTCCTTGCTCAAAAGAGGCAAACCCATCAATAAATGCTACTCAAATTTCCACATGTACTAGGAACCAGCTTTGATCAACCTTCATGGAATTCATAGAAGAACTCCAGCATATCCATGATACTTTCAAGGTGACTTCAATGTACAGGGTGGTGCAAAAGTCATGCACCATAGATTTCACTGTTGCACTACATTAATTCCTGTTTCATTCTTTGCAGGTAAGTGATGACTGCAAAACTAACAAAAGACGAGAAGGTCAAGTTAAGATATCTTCAAACATCATATGTGCAGCGAATCAAAGTGTTTTCAAGTAAATGGCAGACAATTAGAACATTTACTGTAATTTACCCTATCGTATGTGACTTTTGCACCACCCTGTACAATGTCACTTAGATGGCATGAGCCACCAAAATCACCAGGTGATCTGAGTGGTCCTCATAACACTGTGATCTCTGACAGTAACAGGAAGCCTCATAAGAGCTCCAAAAAAAAATGCGATGCAAGGATCTTCAGTACCTGAATAGTTCATGCTGATAGTTGGAATAATCTAAGACTTACAAAGCAAGGGGTATAGTTCCTAAGCAGGAAGAAATCAACCCCTTGAGCACACCAAGTATTGGAAATTTTCCTGCATTCATATACCAGCATTTTGTATTAAATAAAATAATACATTGTTTCTGCTAAAGTTCTTTACTTAATGCTATTACCTCTGACTTCACTTCCTCTTGTGATACTTTTCCCTGAACACTCACTGTGAGCAACCAGTATGCATCGTGTGTATTGGTTGCAGTTCCTCAATGATGCATATGGGTGTTCAAGGGATTAAATAGCAGTGAGCAAGACTGGAGTCATTCTGTAAAGGGAGACCTTTGAAGATGGAGAAAACTCACCAGCTTGTGAGAAGCAACAGGATCTGGAAGTTCCACTGTAATTCTTTGATAGATCCTTGGATTTCTGTGCCTCCGCTAGGATAAAATAGCAATTAAACTTCAAGATTTCAAAATGAAGCAACAAGTAGCACATTTTCATTTCCAAATCTAAGATATAGCCATGGTCAAATGATTACTGGGAATTTTGGAAGGAATGACATACTTTGAACTTTTCCAAATCTGATGGAAGTATGACCTCCTTCAAATCTGGAGGCAATGGAACTTCTTTCATTTCCTCTTTTTCTCTCTTCTTCTTTGGAGCTACATATGACGCATCCAAGTATGTGTTGATGGCAACTACATCATATCCCACTGGAAGAAATGATGGAGTTGAATCAAAGATCAGGTCATGATGTAACCTTCTTGGAAGGCAGGTTTAAAAAAATACCCTTTGAAATGACTGAAAACTGTTTATGAGAATGTATATTTTAAAAATACCCAGCTGTGCAGATAATAAAGTACATTTAATCAAAGAAGTGACATGGATGAGGAATAAATTTAAAACTTATTCAAGGACTTAGGGAAGCAAGGTGCTCTCTTGACAGACAATGCATTAAGCTGACTCAAGAAATGATGTAGTAGATAGAGAGTCAGCTACAGGGTAAATTTAAACCTGCAGTAAAGCAAAGATTTCAGCATAAGTAAATTTCAAAATTATGCTGCATAGACTTGTGACAAGCTTTCAGGCAAAGAGGATGGGTCAGGTGAAGAACTTGTACAGATAAGACAAAGTTCTCAAGAATGATTCTCAGGGCTCTTTTTCACATCTTATTCATGGCCTGTTATTGAGCAAGGTCATAGAAGAATGCCATATTGGCAGTGTGTACTTTGAGAAAGTTTGTATAAATGCACACCATACACCAATCAAGTTGACCATTGGTGCTTACCACTTTCTTAAATATATGCAGCATGAAGAGCCAATTACAGACCTTCTCAACAATACCTTCTACAGGGTGGGCCATAAGCCGGGATACTCCTTGATAATTTGTATACTGATAAATTTCATTCATTTTTTTTTGCAGCTATTGAATGATTGAATGATGGCTGATTCAAGTTCTTACAGTATTGAAGAATGCCTCATAGTCTGGGTACATGAACAACAGATGGTGCACATACAGATACCCTGGACATATAAACCATGGGGTATCCAGACTTCTGGCCCATCCAGTACATCAACTTTAAAATATCCTGGATGTGATGCTCAAGAAACAAACTTTGGATAGCTGCTGTAGGAGCATGTCAGGGACTACCAGGAATCTATACCTGAGAAATGGCATTTTGTGAAATGCTACTATAGAAAGAAGCACTTTCAAGGGTTCAGCTTCATATTGTTTATTTTGATCCATGCACCAATAGGGACAGTGAAAGGGAGGAGAGAGGTAGTTGCCCTTACATGAGAGACAGGCATTGTACTGCAGTTGACCTACTTGAAAACAGAGACTTCTTCATCAGGATTGTAATGGATTATTACATAAGGAGAGATGGAACAATGCTTGCAAGTCAGTGTCAACAGCCAGAATACATGGTTCTTTTCGAGATTTCTGGTGAAGGAATGCTCCATCCATATGACCAGTACAGGATCAGCACTTAGCTGGAAAACCTTCATAAGGACAATGTTCCAATTGACAAGTTTGAATGCCTTGGAGTATTCAATGTTTGATATGCCTTTCCAAGCATTAAAATACAAGTGGGCATGATGAAAGTAGACCACAAGATGCAGATGGTTCTTCTCTTTTTTCAAATGGAACAATGCACCAGCTTAACTATTCACTCAACTCAACAGTTTCAGGATTAGAGTTAACACATTTCTAGAAATAACAAAGAAGGAAAAGAGGCACAGGTCATCCTGGGAGGAAGGGGGACTCTTCATTGGAATAGGTACAACTACAGATGTCTTGGAGTTGGAGGGAACTCACCCATATGGATGGTAATGCAAAATATGAAGGCCAGAGGTCTTAAGGAAGTTCAATTGCAAATAGGTTTTCATTAAGAAAATGTAGCCTCATGGTTTTCAATAAACCATAGAGCTGTTCCATAGGAAGATTTAAAAGTAAGTAAAAAAAAGGACAAGGGTTCAGATGGGTGGAGGCCCTGGTAAGGTTGGTTGAGATTAGCTCAGCAGTCTGACTTGAGCTTGAGCACAGAGACCTCAGGGACGCAGGAAAAGGGCAAAGGAGGAGGGCACTTGAAGATAGAGGCTGTAAATATTATGTTGTATTCACTTACGTTTTTGAAGAAATCTGCAACCACATAGTCAAAGGGTCACAACAGTAATTTAAATCCTCCAAAATAAAAATAACAAACTAGGTTGCTTTACTCACACTTGATTAACTAGGAAGATAGATAGGTGATAAGAGTCACAAGGAAGGTTCAAGTAGACACCACAACATATGATATTGAACTCTCAAGGAAGCCAGGCTAGTAGAAGAGTAACACATTTCACTTCCACATTGATATTGAGAGGGGGAAGGGACATTGACCATAAAAGGAAATGAAGGGGATTTGCCTTGTATAAGCCATTCCATCTCCTCTCTTGGTAGGAAACAGGTGATGAAAGCTGACATAACTGTCAACATTGATGGCTACTACTAATTCTTCACTTGCCTAAGTTGCACTAATGATGGCCACAGTAGGCCAAGTATCATTGATGGCAGTCTGCAGACTGCCACCTAGGAACCTCTTTCTTTGGGACTCAATATTACCCCTCTTTCAGAGTGCTCTTGGGTTACTCATTCTAACCCATCCTTGCATTGAAGCAAAATTTTGGAGGCTTTCTGTAGCCTACTCACATTCAAAAGCAGTGAGAATTTTTGATTTCTCTAAGCCACCAGCTCTGACATTGAGATCATAGTATGCCATATCTTTCCAGGTTTCACAAGACTCTTGAAGATTGAAGAATCAGTTCTCATGTGCTCTCTCTCTCTCCCCTGTAGAATGAGACAAAATGCTGTATATATATGGGGGAGTGAACTTTAGAACAATAGCTACAAATAAATGCAATGTGGGCAAATACTCACTTGTTATCTTTGCATATCATTTATCATTCCTCTCACATTCTCCAACTTCTCAGCACTATTTTCAATAGCTTCAAATTGAAATCCCAGATGAGTTGCCAATGCATACAGCTTTTCCACGCTCTAGTACCCAAAGAGACACATAGACTATCAAGCTGGCTATGCAAAACAGAAGCTTTTATATCAGCATATTTTATATCATACTCCTGGCTAAAGATACTCACCCTACCTGAATTAGTTAACCTTTCGTGGCATCATGCCCTTGCTTTTCCAGCCTGTAGGCCAATCTATGACAAGATAACCAATGAAATGGAAGCTTATGAATAGAAGCTTCATTCTTAGGGAATAATGTTAGGGAATAATGTAATATCTTATATTGATATTACATTATTCCCTAACATTACCTCATTTTAATGTTTCAGAACCATTCAACAGTGTATATTATGAACCTCTAATGATACTTGACTTGCCTGAACAGAAGACTCCAGTGATGACTCTTGCAGTGCAAAATTCCTAGCACTTTGCATCAGCACCTATGAGAGACAGGGAAAACTCTCAGATTTGGATGACACAAAAGGACAATTACATTGGTAGAACTCTTCAGCACTAGATGGTTAAATGGTAAAATACTTAAATCAAATGATGCCTCAGAAGTATACTTAATGGCTTATGCTCCAAGTGATTACTGGAATACTTCAAACAAATAATTAGGAGTAGAGCTATCCAAAAAAAATTTATATTTTTATCAAAAAAATTAAGCCACAACTGCAAAATGAATAAAGATTCAATCCAATGAGACTTAGATTGTTCTTCTCATCATTGCGTCTAATGATAAACTCAACCGACAAGCTTTATCGAAAAAAAAAAGAAATTGTGGGTTGTCATACTCCACTTAGTTTCTGAGCTCCTCAACACATAAAAATATTTAACTATTCTTCTTCCTCACCTCGGATGATTTTGAGCCTCTTTGCACCTGGCGAGTCAAAGATCCTAGGAGTAACACATTTGCTTGAACTCTTTCTGATAATCGGATCTTGTTATCCTCAAAAAGCTTCTTTGCACTCTGGGTAGATGCTATAGTGGCCATGCACAAAACAAGAACCTAATGTCAAGAATTGAAAAATGCAAAATTTGAGCCCAAGTCTAAATATACCAGTCACACCATGTCTTAAGCAAATAATTATTCTTGTGAAAAGGTAGCATCACAACCAAACATGGCACTTTAAAATCACATGTCAGAATATGCACTAGTACTGAGTGATTTGAGCTTTTGAAATATCCCACTGAGAACCAGATAGTAACAGGTTAACAAAGAATAAACTTCCAAGTAACTTTGTGTGCAAGGCATCAAATTTATACTGATCATTCCTTATCATAGTATCAGTATAAATTTGATGGATATCCATGCTGCCTAACCAATTTACAGCCTCATCAGAACTATAACATTTTATCAATGAGGAACTTGAAAGGCCAAGAAGTTCAATGGGGCATTGACATTAAAATTACTATTCTCCAAATAAAAAAAAAGCTGCAGAAAACTTCAGTTCCTTCAGTCTGTTTTTTCAAATTTTGCAGCAGCCAGCGGTCCAGGTGCAGTCATTTTTTTTTATAAGTCCAGCAGAAAGCCTATTGAATTCAAGTGCTTGTCTGCAAGCTCAGAAGCGTCACATGCACAAAGGTAGGGTGTACAAATGCCACACATGCAAGAGCCTTGCACCTAGAAGTGGGATTCCAATGTCTGCTGTTAGATAAACGAGTTCGACTCTCCGCAGTTGGCTGATCAACTGTTAGTTACCAACTGTTAGTTTTCAGTCAAGGAACTGGCTGTCAATAGTGTAACAGCAAGTTAGGTTAGATTCTACAAGGAAACTGACTATTGATGGTCTAGAACAAGGTCTGAGAACACCAGTGCTTAGGCCCAACAGAATGAAGCGACCTGATGTGCCTCCCTTCTGTGCATCTAATGGGGGATTCCTACACGTGACTTGTGAAGTCTCCAAATAGTCAGTGAGGTAGCAAGCGTAGTTTTTGTAACAGGGATCCCTTAACAGGAGACAAGCAAACGTTTAACTGCAACGTCAAACACCTGATTGCCTATTATCTATCAGCAACTCCATTTTCATATTCTGTTCGCAGTCCGAGACTACATAGTCGGCTATGTGCATACTGAGCGCAGCCATGTTGCTATTCGAATCGCATGTGGCGGCGTACTGTACAGACTCGCTAATGAATCTGTATCGCGTTCTATATTTTGCGATGTTATTTTCCGGTGCATCCGAGGAGGTTAGGCCACGACTCCCGTGATAGAAACGACATCAAGCCTACGAAGTCCCCGGGTCTGTTAACTGCCCAACTTACCTTTATCATCCATTAGTCTTTATTATTATTCGTATGACATACTATACAGCACATTATCATAGATGGAAGAGGATAGGCGGAGTAGAGGATCCCTGCGCCCTGCAGGTGCCAGCGCCCGGGAGAAGGAGGAGAGGAGGAGTAAAGAGGAGATAGAGTCACAGGTTGAAAGGGAGGTTCCGGATCCAAATCAACGCCTCGTCAGTGAGACGGTGTAGGTCCGGGAAACCTCCTTGGAAGGAAAAAATAGAGTACTCATTCAATTCAGGAAGCAGAGGACATTCTCAATGAGGACCTCGAAGTCGTCGAGAACTATCTCATCAAATGGAGATTAACACCAAACCCACAAAAATCCATCGTGTCTGCCTTCCACCTCTCAAACAGGGATGTGAACCACCCTATTCAAGCTAAATTCGCTGGCTCCATTCTTTCCCATGATCCTTATCCAAAGTACCTGGGTGTGACTCTAGATCAGGGGTGCCCAAAGTGGATGTTCTCTAATACACTTTGTGTGCTGATTGCGGCCCGTGGGCCGCACTTTGGGCACCGCTGCTCTAGATAGAACCCTAACCTACAAACCACACCTAGTAAAATTGGGTTCCAAAATTAGAACAAGAATGAACATCATCCAAAAACTGGCCGGCTCCTCCTGGGGCTCAGACGCTCACACCCTTCGCACCTCTGCCCTGGCCCTAGTATACTCGGCAGCCGAATACTGCGCTCCGGTATGGTCTCGAAGCTCCCACACTCCTCGTATAGACACTCAATTAAACCAAACCATGAGGACTATCTCCGGCTCCATCAGATCCACCCCTATCGATTGGCTCCCTGTCTTGTCCCATATCGCCCCTCCCCATCTAAGGCGACAAGAATCTACCCTCAAAGAATACAGGAAGGCCAATCTTCCATGGGAAACGCCCATCCCCATCCAGTCTGAAGTCCTCAGACCACCTCGAACACGCCTAAAATCCATTAGTCTATAGTAGGCCTCTAAGATCAAGCTATGAGTCTGTGGTGAAACTGCAACAGCATGGATTCTGGGTTTCAGATGTGTATGCGTACATATGTGGAGTTCTGTTAGGGTAAGTATGTGTGCCAGGTCAGGAGTTCAATTAACAAATGACTTCTGCAATGCCAAGTAGTAGGATTATGGAACCTGTCAGTGTTCCTCAAGTGTGCATGAGTTCACAAGGGACTTGTGGGAAAGATGAGGCTGTTCCGTTACCAATGTTGAACCATTCAACTGAGCCTCCTGGAGTCTCTCCATGTCCTAGTGGAATTCACTGCCCTATTGAAGGATCTGGAATACTTTGGAGACCTACACTTTCACCTCCAACGTTTCCCCCTGGACCAGTGAATGATCAGCACATTGCAGCATATTCAACTTCCAATCCTGCTCCACCACCTCATGGCTACTACTATGGGATGCAACCCTATCTTCCTCCCCCACCATTTGTTCCATCAGGGCCACATTCATTTTCCTCTGGTTTCTTGGGGCCTCCCCCAGCTCAACAGACTTATGGAAGGCCTCCTTCTCATCCAGTGTCTACAATCAAATTCCCTCAAACATCCCCATTGAAGTTCCTCCCTGACTCTTTACTGCATAGTTGGGAATCAGGTGAACCAATCCCAAGTCTTAGTTATGAGAAACATCCCATGCAAAATCCTGCAAGCAGCAAAGGTGACCAACAATCAGTTTACCATTATGAACAGCAGAGTCAGAGCCAAAGTTATGACAACATACCCAAAACATTTCAGTCACAAAGCTGTCAGCCTTATCCTGATTGTCGGTATCCAACTCTGGAGTGTGATGCAAGACAGTACATACATCATTCAAGTGAACAGCCAACATCAACCAGTAAGGCATATACAGAACTGCTGTCATGTAGTGTCCTATGTCCCATTGACAATAATCGTGACACATCCACTCTTGGAACACTTCATGGGAAACAATCAGTGCCATTGGCAAATCTTGATCCTCAGAATGAACCCTGTCAAGTAAAAGACCTCACCATTGAGACTGAGAGGGGCATTGACACTTGTGATTTGCAAACTCTCAGAGAACATGAAGAGAAAGGTGATAGTGACAACATGCTGTCACCTTTGGAGATAGATGTTGGTCATCCTGAAGAGGAGCATTTGGTTCATTTGGCTGAACAAAGCCAAGATGAGGTGAGAGCCTCTTTGGCTTTTGGTTTTCATTTCATATCTCCTTCACCGTATTTTGTAAATTTTGACCTTTTGTAATCAATGAGGAACACTGTAGTCATTAAGGATGCACTTCAATTATTTCAATTATCATGCTATGTTTGCTGCCATTCCTGAAGCCCTAAATTCATCCATGAGTGAAATAGGAAAAGATTGACTGTCATCTGATACTTAAATGTGAAGCTTGAGGAAATTCAGTTGGCTGTTTGTTTAATGTCATGTCAAAATTATCCTGAGGTGCTTTTTCATAGTATGATTTTTCTTCTCGCAGGACAAATAATTCATTTTTCTCCTTTCCAGGAAATCCTACCTCAGCTGTCTTGTCTCATCTGTGCTAGTGAAGGCACTTTGGCTGATGTTTATAACATCTTTGACTCCTCTTTGCTTATGGAGTCATCTAATCGAACTCTTTTGAATAGACTAACTTCGATATTGAATGTGAAGTTACGAGAAGAGTCACTCCATACTACTTTCCTCTGTGAGAAGTGTTTCCGACTGGTGAGCAGTGTAGATGAACTGCACGCAAAACTGATTAAAGAAGTTTCACATTTGAAGCGCATCTTCTATGGGAGTCTGAAAGCTTCCTCTGTGTACCTCTACGATGTTGCTCTTCCTCTTCATCCAAAGAATAACTCTAGTCAAATTATGAAGTTCAGGAAGTCTTATAGAATGCATTCAAAGAGGATCAAAATAAAGTACAAGAATGTTGCCAATACCCACATGGAGAAAAGAAAGTGCCATGGACAGAAGAGAAAGTTCAAATCATCAACAACTGAACATCCATGCCATTTGGCTCAGGAGAAAGATCAGGTTGGTTCCCTAAGGTGTTTCTTCCTTGGGAGAGCTTATAGATTCAATAGATCTATGAAATGAATTGTATAATTTTTGGTGTTAAGTCAAGGTTAGTATGGCTTAAGCTATGTTACTTATTGATTCAGTGTTCTGTTACATCATATTTCACTTCTTTTCATGTTACTGTTTTATCAGGTTGTCTCTGCCATGAAGGATAATTGGCAACAACAAGGGAGAGGAAGTAATGGAAGTAGTGAACCATCACCTCTTCAGGCATGCGAAAGGGATAAACAGGATAGGGTGTGTCCACACTGCTGCAAGAGATTCAAATGGCCCAGTGACCTTCGACGGCATATCAATATGCACACACATGATATTACTTTTGAGTGTCAGAAGTGTCATAAGTACTTCAGTATGAAGTCTAATCTAGATAAGCATGTGGTAATATGCTATGGAAAGTTCAGGCACATATGTGAAAAATGTGGGAAGGGGTTTCTCACCAAGAAGTTGTTGAATGTGCATATAGACACACATGATGGTAAATATCCCTTCATATGTAATATATGTAAGAGGGGATTTTTGAAAAGAAGTGATCTGCAGGTTCACAAACGCATTCACACTCAGGAGAGGCCTTATAGTTGTCCAATTTGTGGAAAATCTTTCTCTAACTCTGGTAATTGTAACAGTCATGTTCAGATCCATAGTTCAGTGAAACTTTTCAAATGTAGCTTCTGTTGTAAGTATTTCTCAAAGCAGCAATATCTTCGTGTCCATTTCAAGAATGTCCATGGAAAGAAACCTGCGGATGTTGCTAGTAAAGAGAGCTTAGGTAGGATGCACATGTTACATACTGTTCCACAAATAAATGATGGAGTGTCCTCTGATCACAGTTCACAATACACTTGGTTAGGAAGTTGTCAAGGTGAACACCAAGAATGATGGCAATATGTATTGACTGGAATTCATTCAGCTGACACTGTTATTGGAGTAATGGTCATAGAATGCTAAGATATCTAACCATTCTACGAGTTTTTCATCCTGATCATTTCCTCTGCAAAATGTAATGCAATGATATATCATTGTTTGAAAAGCAGAATGTGGCCTTCTCCCCTGTTTTGATCATTTCCTTTGGTGATGTGATGCATGCCAGGAGTGGAACTAGGGAATGTGCAATTGTCTGTGATTCATCTTCAGAGCCATAAATGTGGAAGTTTCTCCTCTCAGCAGTATTCATCCATTTTTGCTAATGAAGTATCCATTTCATTAGTATCAGGTAAGAAATAATTCCATGTGGTGGTAATTTCTGACTGGCACAAGTTGGAAGAGCAAAGACTTGAATCAAGGGCACCAAAACCTCAAAGATGATAAATTGATGCAGTCTGTACAAGAGGTTTAAAAGTTGATAGTGTAGTATTGAAGAGCACATTTTTTTAAATTGAAAATTATTATCTTTAATTGCTTTTCAAAGTATATTCCTCTGAATTTAACATCTGATCACCCACTTTGCAAACACACGGTCAAGGCCATTATTTGAGAGATGTTTTAGCTACACCTCAACAGCCTTGAAGTACTAATTTCATGCATACATGCTGGTGCATCCTTGTGGTGGTTTCAAATTTAGAGATGAAAAATGAGCAGCATAAATTGGGTTAAAGCTGACCAAAACTACTACAATTTTTCATTTGGAGCTTCAGAGTTCAGGGAAGTATTGGCAAACCCTGCCGCCTGCTGACTGGTGTATCCACACCGAAACATACCTCATTACTTCTTTTTTTCCATTTTTAACAACCATTATGCTTCAGTGTATCATAGGTTAAAACTTAGAGCTCAATTCACTTTGAACAAAGAAGTGATTGAGTCAGCTGACAGTCATGACTATGAAGTCAGCTGACATTACTTCTTGCATCCACTTTCACATCTAGGCAATTTTCAAGTCTACTTTTGAATTAACATCACTGCTGAATTTCATTTGCGCAAGAAAACCTTGCCCCTTGTAGAGAAAACAAGAACCTCCAGAAGGCTCACAATCCCATGTAGTAACTATACTATTTTCAGCAGCTTGCTGAGAATGGGATTCTTCACCATGTACAAATCATTTGAGTTTACAATCTCAGTTTATTTCTAGCAATCCTTTCTATGAGAAGGAAATCAAACTACAATCATTCTTATGCTTGTGTGATTGTAGACCTTTAAGTAAAGTGTCATATCATACCATCCCTTAAAAATTGTTGCCAGAGGCTTTTACCTATTGTGAAGACTTCAGATTATTGGCTTCATAATGTATTTTTCATTATGCTTGACTGTCTTCTCAAGACTTTCACTTTGATTTAGAGTGCTTTGGAAACATCAATTTCAGCAAAATATGCATCATTTTAGTGATAGATAGTGCCTCCATCATTTAGTTCAAAGGCTAGCCTATGAACTAAATGAATGGGACAGAAATATGGAATTAAGGTTGCATACATAGATGGTACATATTGCCATGAAATTTTCAGGAAATATATAGTGGAGGAAATTGGTGGATAAATGTACTACCCCTTGAGCCTGACAGTGGCAGCTTCTTTTCTTCTCAGAATGTTTGACCTTAGCCAAAGTTATTATTATTTTTTTTTTCCAGTTTGCAACTCAATTCTAATTATAGAACCGAACTACTTTTTAGAAATAACCTTTGAAGGGATTGTTACATAGTTATGAACCTTCATGGCATTCTACAGAGTCCCTTAATGTCCAGCATGATCATACTAACTTTGATTACCCAACTTGATTATCTTTGTCATCAAGAAGCCCCTTTATTTCATTGAAAAACCTCAACACATCCCTCTATATAGGTGTCAATGACAATGGTGTTGAATAGATTCTATGAATTGCTGTGAATTAGGCTTTCATCACCATGAGTGCTGGTGAACAATGTAGAAGCATCCTAAGTGAAGTGCTGGTCTTATAAAGACATGTAATACTTTCAAAATTGCCACAGTGGGTGAATGCAAGGAAATGAAGAAGAAAGTGTAAAAGAAGCCAGTTGAAAGCTACTCCTCTCTTGATATTGCTATCTAAGAGACAGACTGAAGATTAAGACAAAAATTATAACATTATAAATATAAAATTACAATTTAAGTCTGTCCATGTTATTCCAGTTTTTACTTAGAGTATTGTTATGCATATGAACTTGTTGTCAAACATGACCAAACATCACTGTTTGATACATGCATTTACTTCACTACAAGTGTCCTATCTATGCTGTTTCTTTCAGAATGTCTCCATGGCAAACTGTCCAGTTTATTTACAGTATATAGGACTATAGTTTTCACTTATTGCTTTATATTTTGTAGTTTCCATCTATGTATGAATTATGAGTTTTGGTGTAAGTACAGTGAGACTGATTGCATATAGCTTCATTTCACATGAGTGCTGGTATTATCCATGGAGTCTGATGGACTCCAATATGTAATTGTCACTCTGTCTCCTCAGGTTGCAAATGTTAGTTCAGGAATTTAAGGAACATGTCATCTGAAAACAGCACCTCAAGTTGTGCCTTCTATGATGATGCTGAAAAGTACTGGCAGCACATATCCCCAACCGTTTCTGGAATGCTTGGGGGCCATGCAGATGTACATCAAGTTGATATTGAGGGATCAAATAAGTTTTTAACAGCCTTATTTCGAGTAAGTTGCTTTGAAATATAGGCACTGTATTAAGAAATCATTTTGAATGCATATGTAAATTTTCATATCTCTTGATAACATTTTTAAAATGTCAAATGGTTGGTTTCTTTTCATTAGCAAAGGGCAAATCTAGGTACTGAGCGTGCATGTGATTGTGGTGCTGGTATAGGACGAATAACTAAAACCTTGCTTCAGAAGTACTTCTCAGTCATCGACTTGGTGGAACAGAATGAAGCCTTCCTTGATGAAGCTAGGACTAACATCCTGAAGGACTCTACCAAAGTTGGGCAGTTTTTCTGCACAGGTGAGGTTCAAATTTATTATGATTGACTTCATTTGCTTCAGTCTCAAAGGCACCTTTGCAAAACATATTTGATTGTTGATTGTTTCAGTTTCAAGCAGTGTCTGTTTACTCAATCAAAATGTATCATATAGCAAGTTACCACTCTTGAGCAGACCAGCATCCATGTCAGTGCAAGAAAAGAAAATAATAAACTGAAGTTTGATTTTAAGACCTTTCAAAACTCATCAATTTAGTTTGATTAGGTGGGAAAGTTTTCAGTTATGCTTAAAAAATGTATATCCTGAAGAAAGGAATAAGAGTTTTCAAAATATCTACATTCCTTGTGAATAAGTTGGACAGTTTGGGAGCTACTCTCTCTACATATCTACATATTTCTGACCTGTATATCCTGCATTTTGTGGGATACCAATTAATCAGTTGTTCAACCTACTGGTTTAGCAGAAGGTTAACATAGCATGTTGTAAAAGGTAGGGGTTGCTCTGGGTATTGGAAGCCCCTAATAAAAAAGACATAATAAAATTCTGAGAAAAATCTTTTGAATTGGGGGGTATATTATGATGAGTATAATTTACTCTTGATGAAGCATAAAAGAAAAAAGACTTTGACTGTGGGGATACTGTAGTGTGGTATTGTCATTGTTTTGCTGCCTTAAAAGTTTAAATAGTTGTTTGAATTTAGAGAATTTTTCTGCAACACCCTCTTTATGCTGGCATGTAGAAAAAATGCAGAAAAATGTAGGCAATATACAGTTATTTTGTATGTTGGGCATTCAGTTGAGATTTAAAAAAATGTATGCTGATTTGGTAAGGATTTGACATGATTCTCAAACAGGTTCTACTTAAATCTTACTTTTTAAGGTCTCCAGAATTTCACACCTGAACCGAAGACATATGATGTGATATGGTGTCAATGGGTACTGGGTCACCTCACTGATGATGACTTGTTAGCCTTCTTCACACGATGCAAGTAAGTTTAAATTTTCTCTCTGATGGGTGATCCAATCTATGGAAAGGACAAATTTTGCTGAGAAAAGTTTACTGGGGAGAAAATAGCTACTTGGGGTCTAGATGTTGTTCTTTAACTTCATCAAGTGGCATCTCTGCATTATTTGATGGCATCATCCATAATACTATGATTCTTAAAAGTACTTATATTTCTTCCTCATCCTTATATTTCTTATATTATCTATCATCTTACTATGGATTTTTGAGTTTAAAAGTGGCTCCAAAACAAATCTTCAAAAAGTTTGATGGAATTCATTTAATTCTCCTAAATTAACACAATTGCATTAAGAAGCATGTTATCAATTCTTTTGAATTACTACTTCCTAGGGAGATGCATATTTACATTTCTGCTGCAACCATTAATACCTTTTTTTTTGCTGATTGTTTATATTGCCTTTAAAAATGATTTCGCAATGTGTTAAATACATACCCTGGGAAATCACAATTTCCTTATTGTTGGAAGGTCTCTTGCTTCCTTTTGATTTAGGATTTAGGATTTAGGACTCATGACTCATGACTCATGTAGGAGTTTCAACAGGGCAATCAAGGAAAGATGGAAGGGATTGTCCTGTCTGCTACCTTTCCACTGCTGTTTTTTCTTGGAATCATGTATTTTAATGGATGTCATTGTCAACTCTGCAGTGAGATGTGACTTGATGTTTCTTGAGACTTGATTTATTGATTCCTTAACCCTTTGCAGTTCTATGTTGGAAATGTTCTGACACATAGTAATTGCTAAAGACTAATTTTCATGTGACTTTAATAACTTGATTGCTTATTGATGCAAAATCAGTTTCACAATCAATATCACTACATAACCATATATATTTTGTGGAAATATTGGACCTGGTGATGTCAACATGAGGGGAAAAATTGGTCAGAAAAGGGTTAAAGTAAAAGGCTTTAGCTTCAGAAGTCCTTGCTTTCAGATATTGGAAAATTAATCATATTTAAGGAAAACTCACATTTTAAATTCTTCTGTGACATATAGAACTGGCCTTCGAGGAAATGGAATACTTGTGGTGAAGGAAAATGTGACATCTAATGGTGATGTGGACTTTGACCAAGAAGATTCATCAGTGACAAGACCTGCAAAACTGCTCAAAGAGCTCATCAGGAAAGCTGGATTCAACCTAATCAAGGAAACAAAGCAGCGCCAGTTTCCTAGTGATTTATATCCAGTCTATATGTATGCTGCAGCACCAAGTAACCCACATGCTTCATGACAGCTTTTGGTGATGAACTCTTGGATGTGGATCATTGACATGGGATCATTGAGCAGTAAAAATCTTGATGTGTCAGTAGGAGAGCCTTGATACTTCTGCACCTGTCATATACCATTGTAGCTACATTCTCAATAGTAGTTATGTGCATTTTGTGGGGGAACAATCATGAATGTGTCTCAGGAATAACTCCAAATCAATTGTCTCGAATGATATTAACAATTTGTATTCTTTTTTATTTTGAATTGTGCATCAATATGATCTGAGATGATGCTAGGGAAGCAATGAAGAAGTAAAAAAAAAAAAAGGAAAAACATAAATGAAAGCTATCTTGACAAAATGCTATACTTCATTAGAGGACAAGTTTCATGTAATCAATTTCAACTGCTACATCAAGTGTCACAAATAATATAAAAATCATGGGAATGAAGAAGGAATACATATCAAGATGAATACAGATGAGGCATCTTTGAAGTGTCCAAACAGCACCAAATTTATCACAATCTATACTTTTTTTTTGTCTGTGAGCACACGCACTATACTTCCGATGCCACCCTTCTCAAATGCCTTCTCGTGCCACAACAGCAGATGGCCACTGCTTCCTTCTGAGGGTATTTCAAACCCTCGATAGATGTACTTCATCAGCAGGTCAACCTAAACCAAAGAGCGTAACAAATTATGAACAAACTAGAACACACCAGTGTCCCATGGGATTTGCTTCATGGGTACCAAAATTTCAACAGCCATGAAGAACTCAGTGTTACATTTTAATTAGCAGTATGTGAATATACAATTTGTAATCATATGTAGAGGGCAATGTTGAGGTCCAAGAGGCTGCACAGCCCAATCCAAGAATGAGCACAAAAGAAGTAGCATCATGGAAAAACTAATCACCTATATTATGTTATATTTTTTGTGTAAGCCTACAGACTGTGACAGTTAATGAGATCATTTTTACATTCATATGACCTCTCCTTTTTAGTTAGGCAATTTGGTTAACTGCATATTTTAATGTAGATGTAGATATGCCTTTCTTCTGTTCAGCAATTATGTGCTAAGTTACTCATATTCAACTCTTTTTCTATGTTGCAATATTTAATGAGGCCAAGACAGAGTCTTAGTCATTGTCTCTGTGCATAAGCCTACTATCTCCACAAACACAACCACACTGAAGTAGGCATTGATCATCTGGGGAGGTGATGGTCATTCATCCACATCCATTTACACAAATCTCAAAAAAAGAAGAGGTGCTGCTACACTGTTTCTGGATTGAATTTGTACAATCCACCTATAGTGGAGAATGGAGGAACCACACATTTACAGAGGTTCCACTTCATCATGTGATAGACGTAACCACCCATGTGTAAGATGTCACTACCTGCACAATCAATGCTAGTGCACCTATAGGGGGGTACGAATTCAATCTGGAAATGGTGTATGTACAGGCTTACATGTACAGGGTTGTGCAAAAATCTTAGATCTCACAGCAAACAATATAATATCCAATATTTTTGCAGGAAATAACATTTTTAATCTAGGTGAGTCTACATGAAGAACAATACTACTTGAAACAAAGTTTATTTCAAGTCAAATCTTCAGTAATTATGGCAAAATTTTAAAATGGCCTCCATCTTGTTCATTGCATATTGCAACTTGCCCCCTAGACAGATCAATTTGTTTACTTCAGCTTGGTCCAGGAATTCTCAGGCTTCTAAACATATTGGATGAAGTGGTTTTCATGGTGAATGGTCACTTCATACATGTATTGATGCATTATTTCCCATACATGATAATCCTCCAGATTATAGTCAGGAATGTGTTTTGTCCTGACTTTGTGCGTTGTGACTTGACCCCTAAATTCCCCTATTTCAATCCAGATCATCAGGTATTGGAAATAATTCTGATACATGATTGACATTTAAAGATCAATATTTTGATTTTGATACAATTACAGGAGATTTGGCTTAAATTAATTTGAACTTTGCTATTATTGCTCTTCATGTAGACTGTAGACACTTAAATTAAAAACTTTTAATGTAACAGTATAGGATATTTTATTGGTTGCTGCAGGGACTAAACATTTTTGGACTACCCTGCATGCATGTATGTTCAGGATTTTCATCCATGCCATTAGCTAAAACTTAGGACATGGAAATCTCCCTAGTGGAACCAGTATGTCCCTTTTGAATCATTTTAATATGAAAAAATGTAAAAAATGGTGAATAAAGAGTGCAAATGAGTGAACCAACATAGGAGTCCCCATGTTAGTTCCCTTATCCCATGAGGGTAAGGGAAGAAAGATGAACATTGGCTTTTGGAATTGGAGTACAACTTTTATACTGCACACCTACTGAGGAGTTAATATTTTCATTATGAAGATTAGCTTTGGGATCTCATGCACTTGCAAACTAATACTTATAAATTCACAAAACCAGTACCTATGTATGCAATACTCAATATTTTAGGCATTGCCATGTTGAATTAGCCATATAATACACCATTCCAAAAAAAAAAAACAGCACTGGGGTATCAGCTGACAAGATAGATCATTCCATTTTTCCCTGGAACACCCAGTCAAAAACCCAGCAAGAGTCATCATATACTGCAAACTGAATCAACAGAGACAATGAGAGCTTTCTGATATAAAATTTGCTGTGATTACAGCATGGAATTTTGAACAATGAACAGAAAAAGAAAGGGCTATATCCACTCAAGAAACCTAGGGTAGTGCTCAGGCTTTTTTGGAAAGACATTATATCACCAAAAAGACAGAACCTCAGAGACAATCTGCAAAGTTAAGTCACATGTTTTTGAGGCATTTGTAACACAATGTGATTGTGATGAACCCACCTGATCTTTGGAGAGGGAAGAGACAGCTTCTTCTACCTGATTGGATTTCACAGCCATGAGCACCCTCATCATAAGATGGGCAGCAGCATCCTAAAGAATATGACACCATGTTCAAGATCAGCTTAAATTGTATGCAATTGCATTTCACCAGGTATCCCATACAAAATAGGAATAATCACGATTCAAATGAATGAGGCTACTAGGAGATGGAATGACTGATTACAGAACAAAACTACTATGAATAAATCCTCTCAGACAGAAAAATGGCAGGTGATAGACTCAGCTATCAGAACATCAAATGATGATGAAAAATACTAATGCCTGTATATACTAGCACTCACAGAAAACTTGAAATATTGATACTCACTCTAACTTGCTGATTTTTTGACCCAATAGGCGAAGATCGAAGAACTGCTTGTAGAGCATCTGTAGTCTTTCCTCTGGTTTTATTCATCAAGGAAGATTATAATATGCCCACATAGTTTAATTTCTCTCATGTATGCTCCCAACCCTCAAAATAGTCTCAAGATAAATCACTTCCAGGCTATTAATGAAGACTAAGCTGATGAGAAATAATAAATAAGCCTGTTCCTCAAGGATAGCCTCAACTTGGCAAAATCCTCATTCTGCACTTTAAAAACAGTTCTGACTTTTTCAATGTTCTGTAAATCTATGCATACTGCTATTGGACAGCAATCAGGAGTTTCCTAATCAATCAAGGTAATATGTCAATGTCTTTGAACTACTGCATCACCAGATGCATCATATGTGCCTAGAAGAAGTTATGCAGAAATGTCTCTTGAAACCTCTATAGATGTTTAATATTTGAAACTTTTCAAACAGCATTATGGTCTTCTACCTAGTCAAGTTATCCCAGAGTCTTGAATTCATTCTGTCATATAATAGAATGTTCATCACTCACAAACCTCTTAAAAAGTCATGGTCAACTGTATGCTGACCCATACCAAAATGAAGCGCATGATAGGTATCTGAGTCACAGGTGGTCTACAAAATAAAAATATTAACCACCAGCAAGACCCAGAAAAGTTCCAGGTCTTGCCATCCCATGAACCCACACATGAGTTCAGGGACTTGTGCATGTAATTGATGACTAGGCCAAAAACTTTTTCTGGGTCTCACCAGTTCACCATATTTGACTAACCTGAAAATTTTCAAGATCTCCCAGTCAAGTGGTTAATGCACACTAACCAGTAAGTTGTACAGGAATGAAAACCCATAAGAACAAGGCATTTCTTTAAATGATAGCAACTGGAAATATAAGCTACAGCTGAAAGTGTGATTTGCAATTCTTCACAATATCAATGCTTTCACAATCTGTAATGGTAGACAACACAAGATACAATGGCTGTTGTATAATCAATTGACAGGACAAGAACCAGGATGGGTCAATGTCCAGGAATAGATTTGGGCAGGGATTCCACAGGAGCTCTAGAGACACCCATGAATATGTGTTAGGATTAGGGCTGTCACGATAGCAGCTTTCAAAACATCGATGCATCGACCTAAACTATCAATAGTGTATCGATGCATCGGGGGGGGGGGGGCCAGAGGATTCCATCTTTCCTCGCCGCGATCGGAGCGCGGACCTCTATCCGGCTTTTATTATCTCACGCTTGTGATCCAGGGTGCAAGGGGAAGGTGTGACCTTCGCAAAGAGTAATGAAACTAACCATCAAAGATGACATCCATCCATCGATGGATGCATCAGGACAGCCCTAATTTTCTTCGTTCTACACTGTCTTTGGACATCAGCGCCTGCAGATAGGAAACCTGCCGATGGTGCCAAACTGACAGTTGCAGAAACATTGGTACAACCCTAGAATAAGCAACGTCCACATTCACTTTGATTTCACCTCAGGTAGAAAAACGCCCTAAGGCAAGTTAAGAATTAAAAAAGTTAAGCCTGCATACTAAAGTGATAGACAGGAATATTGAGAGGGGATTAACCAATGTCCGTTTCGAAATGAAGGGAGTATAAGAACAGTCCACTACCGCAGCATGCACCTCATGAGATTGAGCCGGAGACTGAAACTGACATTTAAAAAAAATTACATTCTTGGTCTTCCCCCCTCGCCTTTCCCACTTCCTGTCTCTGATCCGACTTTTTTTTCCCTTCCCGTCTTTCATATAGTCAGTCCCAGCATTTCCGGAATTTGATTGTGATAAGAAATCGCAAGCCCATTCGGGTCACGCCACTTCTTCCTTTCCCCGCCGGGACAGACTGTATTGAACTGTACTCGCCTCGATCCAATGGGACATTTCCCCTTTAAAATCTTTTGCTGATGCATCGCGATGGTCAAAAAAACTATCGATATCTCCAACTATCGATAGCGGTATCGATGCATCGACCTATCATGACAGCCCTAGTTAGGATTTAAGGAGCTCCATGGCCGTTAATTCACACAGATTGCACATATCCCTCATGGACTTTTTCCTCCACATCTGCAATTGTGCAAAGCTAATGTGGCAGTATTAATGGTGGTGGTGGTAGATTCACTGGAGGGTGTCCTGCTCAGGATCTCTGAAAACCTTTGCATGCCAATGGCTGTAGTACTGACCTATTGAGCCTTCTTTCCATGGTGACTCCTTGAACATTAAAGATCCTCTCTTAATTGCACAGCTTGCAACAATCAAAAGGATACTGGTTCAATAATGTTGAAATCTCTCGCTCATCTGGTCCAATAGAAGGAGAAGTTGGTTCTCCAGACTCTTCATCTTTGTAGTTATCCTCATTGTATTGGTCAACATCAATTTTTCGAAATGCTGAACTAGAAGTGTTCTTTGCCATCTGTGAGAGAAAAAAATGGATAATTCTTTTAAACTTAAACAATTAAACTATTTTCCATTTCATTACTAGTAAGAACCCATTTTTAAATTCATCTTTACCTTAACCTGGAATACAGCTCCGTTGAATTACCATGGGAGTCTACCATATTTTTGGCAGCAGCCATAACTCATAATCTTAAGGAAAGTAAACCTACACCCAATATTAGATACAACAAAAGAACTAGAACAGCATGCCTTGTTGGTGACAACACTGTGAGTTACTTCAGATATTCCAGAATGTAACGTTATAAGACATTATTTTTTTTTTTTAGAGAGTTTGGGGAAAGCAGAAACCTTTCTTTCCATTTTAGCGATCAGCATTTCCTATAGTGCAACTTCTTCTGCAGCATGTTATATTATTCATGAACTGGAAGGTCACGAATCACCTAAAATTCAAGGAAGATCTGATGCGTGCAAGGCAGAAGATTGACTGGCAGGCAAGAACTTATGTTAACCAATGCCCCAGCTGGCTCTCATGCTTAGTGAATTTTATCCGGTCATGTGAAAACAAAATTTTTGCGCATAAACTTAGAGTTACCATATTTTGGAAAGCCAAAAAGAGGACGCTTAGAAGTCTGGCGGAAATGTGAAGGCGAAAAAGGTGGACATGTCCAGAGAAAATATCCGGACGTATAGCAACCCTACATGAACTAAAATTAAGCTATCCAAGCTCTTCAGCAATAAGCGAATAAGGATTAACATTTTGGATTCACTTCGTCCTTTTCTTAATTGAATCCGTACAATAAAAACGACTGATCCCATGGAACTAATGTAACACGAAATCAACAGCATGAGATTTCGTGTCTGAATTTTATCACTTCTGACGATCACGTGGGAGTGCAGAAGACGGCCGCTAGGTCGCCGCCATACTGGATTGTTCACGCGTCGTCGCATATTCGAGTGTGTTCTGCGTGCCCGCTATCATTCTATGGCAGTGGATTGTTATGAAGAAATAATGGCCTAAACTGGTTGAGTTACAGTTGCAGATAAGAGTTCCAGTTTTGTCGCGAATCCTGTCATTCTGCATGATACTGTACTGCAAAGTAGAACACTGGAAGATACGAAGTTGTCGCCTCTGTTCGCTTGTAATCTCAGCTAGCCTCCTAAGGACTCGGCATAACATGCAACCCACTAGCATAGAGCGTAAGGACGAAAAATCCTGCTAGCGCCACTACCACAGGCCTATTTTAAGCTTAAATTTTATTTGTTGAGTTATATGCTTCTCCCTTATGATAATGTTCAGAGACTTAATGAATGAAATTTATTCAGCATCAAAAGTGTTCAGAAAGAACGAGTAAAGTGGGTCTGGCTTGGGGGTTGGGGTCTTACACTCAAAAGAAATTAAACATAGGTGCTTGATGTACCATTAAACGAATAGTGAGCAAGAGGGAATGAAAAATAAGAAAGTGAGTTCCAAAGGAATAAGTTCAAAACAGCTATCATACATTAGGTTAGGCCTACCCTAAAATTAAGGAACGCTCGACCTCGACACGTGATATCGAAATGGGAGAAATCGCCTCTTGATATCACTAACTCTCTTGACTCTTGACATTTCTGGAAGTACATGTATCTTTTTTACTGCCTCAGTCTGGTTTCTCCAAATGTCCAAAGTATATCTCAAGAGATTTGATGTTAAGGTTTGGTATGATCTGGATTACCTCTAGCATCTCATTGAAATCCTTAGTCCCATGTTGGAGGAAGTGGATACTGTTGTCTGTTTGCTGGCATAAAGTCTGCTACTGCTACTTCATGTTATATAAATCATGGCTGTTCTTGAAACAGACATTTGTGAAAGTGGTACCATAAATTTGTGCCACTGCAGTTTACTTTGCTGTCATTGCATAATTCAAAGGATATATGTTACACTAATGAGTGAGAGCTCATGTTAATGTACTACTTATTATGAGGGAACTATTGAAAAATGGCAAAATTAACATTTTCTATTCTTTTCAGAGAGTATACATGACACAATTTTTATAGAATGCACTTCACATGTATTACTTCTTCACAAATATGTCTAACATGTATTTGTCTGGTTGACTTAAATTATCATAGTCCTATGTTCTCTCCAGTGTAATGATTCTGCCAATGTTAATAATATGGGGATGGGTTATTCATCATGCCATGTGATCACAAGGCCTCTCTTGTTGGCCATGAACAACTGTATTGTCCAGTCAATATCACGCCACTACATGAATGCATATCAGAAATAACAATGAGGCTAATTTTAAACCTTAAGGATCTCCATTTTACTATGTATTTACAAGGTATCACATTGGCTGCTGTAAAATATATTGGCCTCTTTTGTCAATATCTACACAAATTATGACATTATTTGAGGCTCTGAAACCACCTATGAAGGTTTTCCTGATGTATGGTAGGCTATGTCTCAGAAAGGGTAGAAATTTATTTGGGATATATGTCTGTAGTGAATCCTTATGCATCTGGACAGATTTGAACTTTATTCATGAGACACTGTTGATATGCAAAATAATGAATATGATTTTTAATTTCAGAAAAAAATTTGAGATTATAAACCTCAGTTGCACTCAGTCTCATATGCATAATAAAAAAAAGGTGGAATGATGGACCATGGAAATACAGGTTAAATCTCATTATAACATTCAGTTACAATGAAAAACTTCAGTACTACGGAAATAGTTTTATGACCCTACGTTGGCCCATAGCATTGTATTTCATATATCTTAAAATGAAATTTTGTCAGAATTCATTGTTACAAGATTTGACCCATATACAGGATATGGCAAAAAAAAAGTTATTCGTCTCATCAAAATTCATTGTGCCATGGCAAGGCTTTGAGCAATTACTCAGAAGTTGGTTACTGTAAATGTACAAGAGCTTGTTCTGGTAGTAGAGAGGAGGAAATGCATAATTGCTGTAATTGCATATCATCCAGTTCACTTCTTTTAAATTGAAATTCATTCTTCAAGTGGGCCTTTTCTAGCGGATTCTTAGTGAACAGCCATGCATCTGCTGTTACAAGACATAAATCCACATTTGCATGGAAATTACTGAAATTCATGTCTATACATAAATTAAAAGATGATAAAACACCCATTTTTGGCAATGCCCTATTTTTTACAATCATCTGTCCCCAGGAACAGATTTTCTAGCCAAAAATCAAATGTGGATTTGTGCTTTGCTACAGCAGTCACATGTCTGATCACTAAGAAATTTCATCATATCAGCAAGGTCTGCCATAACTCAAGAATGGGGAATTGCAGAGACATGACATTTTAAAAGCTTTTGAAGAACATATGAGACAATATTCCATTGAATGTTCATGTAAATCTATTCATAAATATAAATTTTATAGCAAAGTTTTGATTGTCTTACTTTTTTTTTTGTCAATCCTCTAGGTTAAAAGTTTTTGGTTTTTATTTTGCCATATTTAATAAATTCAACTATTCAGCAAAAGTGCAAAGCAAATGGTCATTGATTTCCTTAAGACCAGTGAGGATGTCCCATATACACTGATTTACAGTGTTTTCCACTTGAGTCAGACAATTTTTCTCTTGACTCAGACACTTGAGCATGAGATGTCCCTCATGCATGAGTGTCCAAGTTGAGTGAGCTGCCAACACATTTGAATATGATTTTGATGGTCTTTTTTTCTTTTCATTCCACATTTGGATCTGAAGAGCAATAGCCATAGGCTAGTTATCTCATGTACATAAGACCTGTTTTTCATGAAACATTTCCTTCTCTTCCACAGGTTTCTTACCAGCCTCTTGTAGCCTATCCCAAGGCTAGGCATAAAAAATGGGGGCATTGCATCTCTGAGCACTGTATCAAGTCCAAAGGCCCTTCTCATTCTTAGAGGGCTTTTTGCTAGCCTATATATCAGCCAAAATGTGTTTGTAATAGTGCTGTACATGGGAGTCTGGTTTGCATTAATTGACAACTTAAATTAATGATGGCCTTTAGCAAGGAAATCCAGACTCTTCTGTTTTTTGATTTGGAAAGTACTAGTGTTCCATCATTTGATTTTACTGGGCAACGCACAAGGATAACAGAACTGTCATTTGTTGCTATCAGTGAGAATCATTTGAAGGAGCCAAAGTTTCAAAGTGGTGAACTGCCTCGTGTCATTCACAAGCTAACACTTTGCTGCAATCCCAGACGACTCATTCTCCCAAAAGCCCAAGAAGTCTCAGGTCAGAAGGTCACAATTTATTGGATGTGTAACATCCATTCTCAGTCAAAAATCACCTGTTGTGATATTTATTCCAGGTCTGAGTAATTATACCCTGGAGCATGAGGTTCCATTTAATGAAGATGTTGCTGAATGCATATTGACTTTCATGAAGCATCTCAGGCAGCCCATCTGTCTTCTGGCTCATAATGGCAAAAACTTTGACTTTCCCCTCCTGAAGTCAGAATTTGCTTCTGTTGGCAAGGTAAGAATTCTGCTTCTGAGGCTGAGAACTTTAGGACTGTGCTCCTTTACCGTCTCAAACAAATAAATAAAAATCATTGATAGAATGTAATGAACACAGTTCAGTAGTTTTGATACTATACTGCTACCAGTGACAATGAGCACTTTGGGTGCAATGTTATAAATCCTGAAATGTAGTATTTCATGCAGCATTTTCATGAATTTGGTGCAACCTGTTTCCATGATACATAGTAAGTTTTTTATGGTACTGGAAACATGTAGTGCATTTCTTGAATTACTAATTCACTCCATCTCATTGGAGATAGAAAAGCCTGTGTATTTCTACTCATGGCAAGAAAAGACTCAGAATTGAGCCATATTAAGTGAAATTAGGCTTAAGAACTCACAGTAATATGTAATATCTATTCCTCTTAAGTTTCAAGGTGATGCCTTAACAGGAAAAGTCAAGTCCATTGAAATGGGGGATTTGCTCCTGTCAGTTGTATTTACAGTTTCTTGTGCCGGTGTTTCATGTGTCCATGTATGAAACTATTCTGAGACTGTCATATGCAGTTTACCAACTTGACTAGTTTGACTCGGGCATACATTGTTGCATATGCTTCTGAATGTTTGCACATGCATGAGTGAGCATATCTAGAAAATTTGTCTGCTTTCTGCAATATGATGGACATTATTACAAATATACTCTTATAGTACCTCTTGTTAAATAATTATATTCTACATCAATGTTGTTAATGAATGGTTGTGAAGAATACAATGTCTAGTCAACTGTAAACTATAATCTGTAAACTCTTCAGGTCAGAATGAAATATAAAAAAGTCTACATCTCTGTGCAAGTAACTTTTGAAAAAATCACAGAAATTCTTGAGAGCCAATAGCCATAGACACTTATGACTGAGATTTCCCATTGTAGGGCATATGGTATGAAGGACTTTAGCAATTAAACTAGAATTTAATATCTAAGGAATGGTACAGAAGATATGGAAACCTATTTGTTGAAATCTGATGAGGATTTGGCATAATTTGATGCAGTCTAATTGAAAATTAAATCTAAGAAAGTTAGGAAATCCTCAGTGCTGAGCATTGTTCCTGCTGTAAACTGCTACTGGTGCCCTCTGCTGAAATAAACTGGTAGAGATGACAGGTTTGCTATGGATGATTTCCAATCACTAGTTTGTAAATGTGTGGAATTGTAGAGAATTAAGGAAAACCCATTAGACCATCATTATCCTTATATCATAGGGTTACATCTCTTCACTTAGTAATGACAATTGTGCAAGTCATAACATTCTTTACTTTTATGGAAAGTTATCCTTGCAAGAATTTTTATATAAATAAAATTGTGAAAGTACAAGAACTGGGAATAAATCTCCATCCTTTTGCATGCCAAATACTACTTTGCCTAATGTGATAAAAAAAATTTAATTTTTTAAGTCTTCCATGCAGTAAAATTAGTAGGATATTCATTCACAAGTCAGACATTTCTCCGAAAAGCAACTGTGTTGCAGCCGTCATGTCACTTTCTTGTTTCTCTTCATTTCTCCAATTATGAGTCCAACTTTTTAAATGCTGTAACTTCTAAGCGATTGTTCCAGTTTGGTGTAAATATGTTATGAGGTACACTGCTCATTTAGTGATATATTTATTTCATCTTCATGTGATTACTTTGACTTTTCAGGAATTACCCAATGATATCCTCTGTGCTGATACTTGGGAAGCAGCTGTTGCCCTATTTGATGTTCAAAATCCTCAATGTTCTTCTGTGCCATTTGGGAGAATAGCTGGGGATGACAATTGTGTATCCTCAACCTCAGAATACATTGCTCCTGCCACAACCAGCAGTTGCAGTCAGAGTCAACCTGATAGCAACCACAATGAAAATGATGTTATTCCATCAACACCTGAAAGGAAAACAAAACAATCCTACTCATTCTCCCCAAAGGCCCCCAAATTTCAAGCCTCTCTCCTCGAATCCTTGACTGCCAAGCAGTGCATGACTGTTGGTTCTACCCAGAATCAGGATGAAGACACCAACATGCTTCTGAGTCAGCATGAAATGCTCTTCAAAGATCCTGAGGTTCTGTCCCAAGTTGATGAGATAGAACAGTCAGCTTCCAAGTGTAGGGTAGGCTCCTTTGGTGGCACCACATTGGATATTGATGAAGGACTCAAAAAGCAGCTAAATTCCATCCATGGCTTGGAGTCACCTTCACTTGGTGAAGTTATTCCCCGGCCTCATTCTTTGGATCATGTGAAGAAACAGCTTAATTTCTCTAGGACTGATGAACAGGACCCAAATGATGCCAATGTATTTCCAGATAGCCAGGAAGATCTTCTGCTGACTCCCAAGAAGAAACTTCACGCCAAAGACATACCTAGCCCAAAAACTCCAGTGAGATCTTTTTGTGGTCTGTCATCACCTGATACACCCTCAAAGCAGAAGAGAGGCAGCTCAGCAACAGTATCACCAGAGGTACCCAGTGTGAAACGATATGCCAGAGGGTTTGGGTTGGGTGATTTGTATGAACGTACCTTTGGGTGTAGGGACTTTGCTGCACACACTGCAGAAGGGGATACATTGGCTCTGCTTAAAGTTATGCAGACCAAGGCAGGAGATTTTGTAAATTGGGTTCAAGAGAATGCTGTAGCAATGTCTGAAATAAGAGCTTGGGAGTAGTAGCTGATGAGGTGTGGCATAGATGCACTAGTATAATACATGATGACATAATCTCATGTGCTTGGTTCATTGGCCTTGAATTATGAATGAGATGAAACTCTATGCTTTGTGTAAACCTCATTATAAATTCTCCAGCATTCCCATTGAGTAGTTAACATTTCCATGAATGGATGGAGTATGTCATGCCATTATTTGTTTTGATAGATATTCTCAAATTTCACTGACATTGATGTGGATCTAGAAAGTGAATTTGGAGGTTTTGAATATGCAGGGTAGACAAAATATGCAACCAGAAAGAAAATATTTGAGGCTTAGCTACAAAAGCTACAAAGTTGAAACTTTGCAGAATAATAATATAAAAGTGATAGCTTTTTTCCTAGTCACTTGTTCATATTGAACTGAATGAACAGAGAGCTATACAAAAGGAAAATTATTTTTATTAGTTCAGTGATCTTTGCTCAGTTTCCAGGAACTCCTGACATTCTGCTCTCTTTTCTATCATTTGCAGGTAAGTGATGGCTGAGAACTAAGACAAAAATGGTTCAAGTGCTGCACCAGAATCTAAGAGAAATGAACATTGTTTAGTAAATGGATGTGCAAGAGTGCCCCACTGAAGTGGAGGGGCTTTTCAGAATACATTTTGACAGGAAATCTCTTACAAGATTGATGATCAGAAAGTTCCAGGAGAAGTTCCAAGAAACAGGAAGTGTGCTTGGTTTTGATGTTTTCTCAGGACCGCTTCAAATGACACCAAAGATAATTTTAAAATCCAGTGCGTACTTTTGCTGGGGGGATACTTGAGATCTAGCATGCTTCCTGGAACTTCTTCCACAACTTTCCAATATCAAAGAAGGAACCTCCAGAAAGACTGAGAATGTGTCCTGAAAAATATTTGCACTTAAATGGGGCACTCCTCACTCCCATTCATGAAGCAGCTTTATTTTCCATAGATTCTGGTGCAGCATTTTGATCACTCTTTTCAAAGTCCTCAACCATCACTTGCTTGCAAATAACAGAAAAAAAGGATCAGTGGAGTTCCTGGGCCATTATCAATGAAAAAGTGAAAGAAAGATACATGTGTTGATGGCTTCTTATTTGTTCTGTTTAAAATGCACAAGTTACTCAGAAAAAATTTTCACTTTTCTACCATCATCCTACAAAATTTCAACTTTCCAGCTTTTTGTAGTTTAACCTTGAGAATTTTTTATTTTTGGCAAATAATTAAAAAATTAAAATACTCTGTCCATCATGTATATTTTGGAGCCCCTTGAGGGTTTGAGAGATTATTTTTGTCTTCTTACTTGTGATTTGACACTCTGGCATGACAAGTTTTCCAAAGGAGAGATTATGTATTATGAGAACCTTTAAATATATGAATGAACATTTTTGGACTATTTTGATGAAATGACCAAATTTTTCTTGTATGCTAATTTGTCATGTCACTGAAGTTTTTTTTTCATGTTTTTTATTACTTGCCAACCACAAACTTTGCATGTATTTATGGATGGTAGCACCTTTTTGTTGTCTGGATTCAATAGATTTATTTTTATATGACTTTTTGATGGATGAGGAATAAAATTTTATTCATTTTTCACAAAAAGTCTACCAATTGCAACTAGACTAGTATGTCTTGCATAGGAATACCTCCTATGCAAGACATACTAGTCTCCATTCAAAATTCAACTGTACTGTTTCAGTTATGATGAAACAGTCTATGGAGCAAACTGGAAGGAATGGACACAGTCAAACTCAGGATACTAGACCTTGGAACTTCAGATTTATTCAAAGGTTGACAGGGTGTATTTCTGCATTTTGAAAAAATGGATTTCCAAAAATATACAAAAGCCAGTCCATTCAGGGAAAATGGATACCAGAAAACATCACAGATGGTGAGACACATATGATTTGCAAACAGTTAAAAAAAATTGTTAGAGCCACAATTTGCTTGATTCTCTCCAGGATGACTAGAACAGAGTCATGATAACCCCCGCTCACTGCATCATTAGCAGACATACTGCCACCAGGACTCCTAAGAGTGATGTTCTTCGAACTGCAGCAGAAGTTTCATCACGTGGCCTCGTGCTCTCTGTTAATAACACCCAATCACTTGATCAGCGTGTACCTTAATAATTAGCTCATGCATCTGTCATGCATAGGAACCTAATATCAATTAAGATTTCAGTCACTTTTTTCTGACTTTTCCTTAACAAGAATAAGCCAGCTCTATAAGAAGGATATATCTGCAATATGATTTTTTTTAATTAATGACTTGAAATTTTTTTTAAACTTAAAGAATGGATGAACAGACTGACTACTTACACCACTAATTTTGATTATCTCAAATTTCCTGAACTTACTAGATTCTCCATAGTTGCATTGCTGATGCGACAATTTCTTTGGTCGCTTAGAATAATCAACTCCTGGCAATGAGATGGTAGGGGCGCTTAAAACTCCTCCTCCCAGCAGTCGACTGAAGTCAAGCTCCAACTCCCTGGCTTTTGGACCTTGCAAAAAGATAGTAAAATAATATTATTCAAAATATTAAATTATAGGTTTATTTCAATTATTAATGATATGAATTGTGATATTCATCATGGGTTGTGATGAATTTCAACTCTGTAAGTATTTCTGTTGATATGACAGAAGGGTTCATAGAAATATGGTAAAAGTAGGGTGAAAAATCATCTGTCTTCGGCTCATGCCAAGTCTCTTAACTTTCTCTCTCTCACACAAATCTCAACCATTCCACTGGTGAGTTTTGAGGCACAATTTTACCTTGGGCAAAGGTCAGCCTGAGAAATTCTCAGGGATACCAGTGAAAGGGTTAATATTGAAGGTTCCATTATGTGGCCATTGTAGAAGTCTCCCTGTGGCTTTATTACTACAGAAAAAATATCTTATCAGCAAGTAAGAAGTTAATGCTAAACACAATACTGCAGTCTACAGTCCATTGTGCCTTACTCATAAATTTAACAGTTTATCTGAATCACCAAATCTTAAACTTTGAGTCAGTCCTGTACATATTACAGGATGAAATGCCTACTCTATGGTCATGCATGCTCAAGTCTGATATGTATGTGACATTTGGAGATTCAATTTATTTTATTGTTGTAATATGAATTGCCACTTTTTCCATTGAAAGTGACTTTCATACTCAAGGTAGATTAGGAATGGCATTCCATTAACAATAAATCTCAATATTAGAGTACACACTGATGATGCTACAAATGGAACATCAATACCTTTGAAGTGGATGAGTATTTGCAGGCATGCCCCATCGTGAAGCTCTTTCGTCTTTGGTGCATCCAGCTCTACCATCCACTCGGGAGCACCAAGAACTTCACGCAGCTCATCCATCATTTGGGCACTGCCACACATTGAAAAAATTGAATCATTGAAAATAAACATCACCATCGTATTAATGGAATTCACCAGTGCAGTGGAAACACAGAATACACACTCACGCAACAAAGCGAGGTGATTTTTCAATAGTAGTCCACTTGACAATGTCATCATCTGGTTCAATGACAGCACAGGATAACCTCTGTCCGCTTGAGTTTGCATCAAATATCACCACAGATTTTCCAAGAGCAGAAACTTCCCCACCTGCATGGTAAGGTTAACATTTTCTTTTTGTGTGAACTGCACAAAGCCAGGTAAAATGGGCTTTCACTTTTCACACCCTTTCACTGTTGAGGATTTAAATGCCCAGCCAACCTCTCCTTGCCTAGCAAGGAGAGGAGAGTGGGTGATGAGGCTAATAAGGTGACACTGTACTTCACACAATGTGTACTGTATATCAGTAAATCTGAGAAATTAGACATGTTCAGTTTCAGTGTTCTGGCTGAACACTGCATAAAACGGAAATATATTCTGGAAAAAAATATCACAATGAGCATCTTTCCATGACATAAAGAGAAGGAAGAATCATATCCCTGATGTTGTAGGATGTATACTTAACCTTTATGGAGAATTAAACTGGCAATTGGCAAACATCCACATACATAACAATTGCTGCCCTGGTCAAATTCCCAAGTTAAAACTGTAAAATCATGAAGCAATGTGATGCAGAATCTGACAGGACATTACATCCAGAAGAAAACCCATAAAGTGTGCAATGTAACTTACCAAATGGAAGGTTTGCATCCCCAAAAACTGCCCTCTTTCCTCCAATCGAGATGGTGCCAAGCTTTCCAGTCAAATCGCCTGCTTTACAGCGCAAGGGTACTTCTGGTCCACATTCTTCTTTATAAAACTCATCCTGTAGATATTGAATAAAAGCATGTTATTCCACACAGCAACCATATCGTTCACTTTCCTGATGAACCAAGGTTCTCCCTCCTTCCATATCAAGGGCTCAAGGAATGGGATTCAACACTTACCGCTTCATATTCTGCAATGGGTCTCTATCTTCACTACAGGTTATTCTTTCATGGGCTAAGCCTTATCAGTGCTCTGTTAATCTAACGTTTCAGTTTACATAGTCTCATCACCCCATAGGTAACTCAAAATTCATAGATATACCAGAAGCTGTATGGGCAATTTAAGGAGGATCCTAATCAATCACAAAACAGACTATGCAAGTGACCTTCACAAGGAATTGAGCCTGATCCCTATACCCAGAGGCAGGTACTCTAACCATCAGACTACAGAAGCTTCTAACCCATCTGACTCAGTATCATTCTGTACCTATTCTGTATGTGCCCATCAGCACATACAATATTAAGGCAAAAAGACAATCTCCAAAGAGATCCTCTTATTGTTGCCTGCAAAGGTTCTCAATCATATCTGAAAACATATTTGACACAAATGTAGATATTTGTCCCTAATGTCCCAGTGTCCATTCCAGTTCAAAAAAAATCCTGACCCACTAAGACTACAAAAGAATACTTCCCAAATATGTGGCTCTTTTTGTTCCTTTTAGGAATGCTTGGAAAATTCATCATTTCAATTGGTGCTGCTAATTTGCGTTGGTCAAGATTCTCAGTGATTCTAAAACATAGGGGGGGGGGGGGGAAATATCAAGCTCACCTTATTTGGATGATAAGAATGAACAAAATATGGATTCCACTGTTCTCCAGCAGCAACGCAGCGAGCATTGGACGCCTTCACCACGGCATCCTGTCCCACGCCGCTAGAATGCACGGCCCATCCATGGCCTGTTGTCTGATACACAAAATTGATCTCGTGAGAAGCTTGCAAGCATGCAGAGGGGGAAAAGAAGTACACCAATAAAGATGAACAGTTTCAAATAGTTGCATACACGAAACCCAAGCTCATTAGGTTCCTGCAGAAGAAAAAATATTAAAAAGGATAAAGCAAAACAAGACGAGACTTACTTGATTTTTGTCATAACTTCCTGGATATCGCAAATTCACTTCAATTGACGTGTCTGTAGAGCTCCCATCTGTGTAGACAACTTGCCTCTGTAAAATCACAACTCAATAAATTTAATAAATTTATGACATGCGCAAGTGTGATGGTCCTAGACGAATCAAGAAAGTAGAAACTTTTCTTTACGAGTTATAGACAGATAATAGAAACTTTCTCACGAATCGAATGTAGCCATAGAGAAACCCCTGAGGATGGTGGAAAGACGCAATGGAAGAATACTGCCTCGCCTCCGAGGTGGCATACCCCCACCGGATGCTGGAGCATCCCCACCGGGCCCCGTCCTCCTGCTTGTGAACCACGACGCTGCGGCCGACGACGGAGTAGAGCCCATACAGCGGCAGCATGGTGTCGTTGTACTCCGCCTCCACCTCCTTCATGGCGTCGAGCCCGCCGTGCTTCCCGCTCAGGTCCCCGATCTCGTACTGGTCGGCCGTGCCCGCCGCCCACGGGAGGCTGGCGTTCACCTGCACGGCCAGCGGGTTGAAGTGGTCGTAAACTTCAGACCCCTGGCAGGGGAACTCCACGCTTATCGGAACTGAAACCTGTCAAACACAAAAGTTCATCTTCCTGCTTGTTGAAAGGTTTCCCAGTTTTTTTTTAAATAGAAGTCACCACCCTCACCATGTGAACATGATACCCCGATGCCAATTCCTTCAGTCCTCGTAGTTCCACTTCCACACGTGTCGGATCGTTGGGCGAGTCCTGAGTGATTTCCAGCTCCCCTTCGATATCTTCACCTCTTGAATTGGTGTACCATTCATTTGCAACACCTTTGTGTCTGAACGACTTCAATATTCTGTAAGAGGCACAACCCATCGAATCGCTTCAAAACCTTACCGACACACCAGCACCGCGAAGCAACGCGAAAAAAAAAAAACATGCACCCGACCCACACCCACCAGAGCGAACGGAATAAATAAAAAAAATCTCCGGCTCACGTGGTACACGCCATCCTGTCCCCCCGATGCTCTGGCGCCTTGTCGTCGTGAATGACGATCGACCTCCCGATCACGCTGTTCGGCCCCGACAGCGGGAGGAAGGAGTCCGTGAAGAACCTGCGAGACTGGATTCTGTCCGACTTCAGGCCCACCGCTTTGAGGGACCCATGCCTCGTGGTGAGGTCCCCCAGCTCGCACTTCTCCGGGAAGGCCAGCGAGCAATCCTCAGAGCTCGAATTCGTCGTCTTCACCTGCAACGACAGACGAAAATTGACGACACCCCCGACGACACCCGACCCGACGGGAGAAAGCCGTGCCGATGGATTGAACACTGGACACATTGAACATCGAACACCTTGGACGGGTTGAACAGGGCCCCAGCGGATGAACACCGATCGGTCCAATTCAGGGCGTTCTTCTGAACCGGCGGATTCACGTTCACATACCAACGATGACCATCCGTCGTCGCATCGGATCCATCGGAATACAAAAGATCGCTGAGGAATATCGACGTGTCTGACAAGGGATCGTCCACCTCCTACATTCCCCACGAAGCGAAAAAAGCCTCAGCACAAAATTCACTTCGATTCCCCAAGACCAAAAAAAAAAAAACTTAAAAAAAAGTGGGATCACCTGACGAAATTCCATGATTCCGACCACCGGAAACCTAAAGACCGCCACGGCCCTCACGGTCTCCCGCCGGCTGAAGATCGTCCCACACACCCACCGCTCCCCAGAGAGCCTGTGAACGACGATGGACCTCCCGACGGAACTGAACGGCCCCCACAGCGGCAGCATGGTGTCGAACGCCGTCCCCTTCACGTCGTCCAGCCCCTCCAGGATCCCGTGCTTCCCGCTCAGGTCCCCCAGCTCGTAGGCGTCGTGCGACCCGCGCCCGGTGGGCGGGGACTGGGACACGTCCACGCGGAACGGGTTGTAGTGGCCGCCGGTTTCCCGACACGGTGAGGACGTGAGGTAATCCGGGCCCACGCCAGGCACCGGGAACTCGTGGATGTGATAGCCGCCGGCGATCCCTCTCAGACCTTTCATGTCCATGGTGATTTTCGTCAGGACGAACGGATTCTCCTGAGAAGCAGCGTTTGAAATGCTCTCAAATCCCTTTCCAAACGTCGATTCAGAAACGAAAAAAAAAAAATTTTCCCCCAGCACAAACCTGTAGCAAAGTGACGGTGCCCTTCACCCCCTGCGCAGAAATCACAGCCTGCGCCGCCTTCTCAGGCACCCGACGAACGTGGGCACAAGCATGGAACGTCCCCGGATGTCCCTCGTCCTCGAGCACCAGGTACAACCGCCGCGGCCCGTCGTCCTCGGGAGGCACCAAGACCGGATCGAAGAACTGCTGGCGGGACTCCCTCGCCTCCCCCGCCCCGACGTGGACGGGGCCCAGCCGCCCCGACAGGTGCCCCTGCGCGCAGTGGCTCGGGTCGTCCCCCGCGCAGTGCAGCCCTTTCCCGTCGGGGTCGAAGAGGAACTGCAGGAACCGACAGTCCTCCGTCGACGCTGCAACACGAAACCGGCCCGTCCGATAGAAAAAAAAAAAACCCGGTCGCGAGCGTCCTCGACGTAAACTCGAACAAACCTCGAGGAGATTCNACCAAAAAAAAAAAAAAGGGCCCCCCCCCCCCCCCCCCCACACAACCACCACCAACGAACCCCCAACCCCAAGAGCCACCCGGAAACTCGCAAGTACCTCGATCGTGGCGCAGGACCGTCGGACCCCGTTCCCGCTGACGACCACCGACCTCCCCCAGATGGTCCCCTCGCGCCCCAACACCGTGAACCCGGGGATCTCGTCCGCCCTCACCGTGAACTCCTTGTTACCCGACGGGATCCGCAGCTTCCCCAGGGCCGCCGTCAGGTCCACGTACCTGCAATCCGAATCCGTCCGTGCTTATCTCGATGCCGATCGCGATAACGGCGTTCCGGCAACCGGGAATCGCCGTGGATGATGGATCGAATCCATGTACGCAGCGCGGACGATGCCGCGGCATAATGCCGAGGCATACCATCATGCCACGGCATGATGCATTATGATTACGTTCGCGAAAGTGATGGAGGGGAAGTCCATCCATGGAAGTCCCGACCCTGACGCACGGATTTCACGCAACCGCCGCTCAACCTGTTATGCGCCCACACACACCCGCCACAAAAAAAAAAAACACGAGGACCATCAACACAATCCATCCGACACGTCCACTCACACTTTCTCCGGCAACTCCCCGCAGGGATCCCTCAGCGAGTAATCCACCGGGACCTCGTAGATCTTCCAGTCGAACTCCTTCGCCTCCCTGTCGCGGTGGCTCTTGAGGTCCACCGACACGGTGATGGGGCCCGCGGGCTCCTCCTGGGAGAACACGACCAGCCCCGTGATGGACTCCTTCGACAGCCGCACGAGGAGGCGCAGCCCCTCGCACGTCGGCACCTCGGCCAGGCTCACTGTCACATATAATCATTACAGGCTCACCGTCACATGATCATTACAGGCTCATTGTCACATATTTTCATTTTCTTTCGACAGGAAATTCTTTGACGTCGAAACGGTTGAGGAGCTAAACCGATCTGAATCCGAGCAAACATGTTCATAAGAATGAGTTGCACTCATCGTTGCACTGATTTGTGACATGCACCACGCGCAATCAGTTTATTTCTCTCATTAACTAGTTTCGAAAGATAGATTCGTTCCATAGCAGGTTCAACTCCCGAAACGGCGCGGGCCTCACTTTCCTCGCCTCTCCTCATCTAGCGACGGCGAAAACGGAAACCAATGGTAAATTTCAAGAAAAAAAAAAGAGAATAAAATGTTATACTCGACCCTGAACCAAACTGCCAGGACTATCGGAGATAGACTCGATTCTCTTCAATTCAGACGACTTCCGAAGAAAGTCTTTGTCTTTCCGCGGGCACCGTCGCCGACTCGATGAGGACAATGGACCACCATTCTCTTTTCAAGGACAACCACACCGCCTTTACACGCGTTTAAATCTTGGATACGGGTGACATGCGCCTGATCTGTTAAAACTTTTAAACTAATCTGATCTCACAATGGTCCTCTACAACGGCGTAGGGAAGGGGGGGAGAGGTTTAGAGGGTTAGAACACCCCCCCCCCCCCCTTGGACTTCCCGGTCAGTGACACTGACAGGCATATTTGAACCTTCCTTGAGAATTCCAATTTTAGCTATGCCCCTTCAAGGAAAGTCTGATGCCCGTTCACNGGTTTAGAGGGTTAGAACCCCCCCCCCCCCCCCCTTGGACTTCCCGGTCAGTGACACTGACAGGCATATTTGAACCTTCCTTGAGAATTCCAATTTTAGCTATGCCCCTTCAAGGAAAGTCTGATGCCCGTTCACAGACCCAAGACCATGATTTCTTTGAAAAGGTAAATTCCGGGTAGTGAAGCTAGGCGTAGGGTCCGGGTGTCTACTTGGCCTTAAACTCCCCCCGATTTCCAGCCTACACCACTGGTCTTCGACGAGAATCTGTTTGACGGAGATAATCTTATTCCCACAATCGCCCATTACGAAACCAGATCAGTTACACGGAACTGGTGCACGTCATCAAAGGGTGTTCAAGGAAACCAATCTGATCCTCGGCGGTGCATGTCGGAGACGAACACACTCTCGAACATGTCTTAGCGATCGCGTTCATCTCGTCCTTAAAACCGATCCGATTCCTCGCGGCGCGAAACCAGGTGTCGACGCTTGGGCTCGCGCAAGCGGAGAAAACACGGGAGATGGCATCATCGCCGAAAGGTTTTTTAGAGCTGCGATGACCTCTCGAGGATTCGAGGCCCACCCATTTAGGTCCGGTGAGCTCTGGGCTTGTTTGCTTGCCCGCGTCAGCACTTTCACTTTTGGTAAATTTACTATTCGATCCCCCTACTTATCTGTTTAATAAAAAAAGGGGGGGGGAAAAATAAAAATTCGAAAAATCTGCAACAAGTTTTCTCAGCGTGCCCAACGTCTAGTTCCTCGGAACAGCGGATGCTTCATCCCCGCGTCGGTAATCTCGCGAAACGCGCCGGGAACCTCAGCCTCCGCCGCCTCGCTTCCCGAGAAGCGCTTCCATCGCAAGCGGCACCGCTTCCATCGCAAGCGGCACCGTGCCACTCGCCACTCGACGACGACTCGGACGATCGAGCCACGGCCGGCCCCCCGATTTTATGGCAGGCATCGACAACCCCCTTTACGGAACATCCCACCGCTAAGCGAAACGCATCCGCGCCGCAATCCCCCTCGACTAATCCCCCAGTCCATAAAAAATGTCATCTCCGAAAAAAAAAATCCCAAACCAATCTACGAGCCGCTAAAAGCAATCCCTCTCCGATCACGCCGCGGTTTCAATACACATTTTAGACACTCATCGACGAGCAAACGCACCATTACCCCGCACGATCGCGATTTCCCCTCACGTATTTCTCATCCGCAAATGCGCCTTCGGCGTGGCGGTGGGCACGTTCGACACGAGATCGTACACCGCGATGGGGGAAAAAAAATCATAACTTGCGATGAGCTGTGGTGTGTAATAAATGCTAATCGGATTACTGGATTGCGGTTTCAGTTACCTTTTCTCCGCCTCGCCCAAACAAACTGCTTTCTTAGAGGCTCTCTGCGAAGCGTTTCCACACGGGTTTCTACCGCTGACGCCCACATCGAAACAAGGTGTTACATATTTCTATGCTCGTGTTCTTTCAGCGAATGCACTAATTGTTGTAAAAATGGATAAGGAAGCTAAAAAAAAAAGTTCCGTAGTTCATACTACTGGATCTCGAATATAGTTAAAGGTATCCCTTAAAGAACCGAACCATCTCTCTCCAGAGAATTGAGGTCGCGAATATGTCATCTCTTCTCGTAGGATGGCCCCCCGCCCCCGCGCCCCCCTTACTTCCCTAATGATATAGTTCAAACTTTCACTTTTTATTGATTTCATATGTTCGTGCGCATAGATGTCAAACCAAAGAGCTGTATTACACGGGGCTGCCCATCTATTTAATATGCAAACGATTAATCGCGAGCCATTCGATCAGTTAAACGAATCGTAACCGAGTCCACACGATCCCCCCCTGAACGCGACGAACGACAGACAACGCACGATTCCAAGCCGACTCCCGCACGGCCGGCCCCTCCGGACACGGACGACGCCCATGCACGGGGGCACGGAATCGTCCTTCGCTCGAGTGTCGCTTTCTTTCTGTTATCTTTTCCTCCTTCCCTTCCTTTTCCTTCCTTCCGTCTCTCGGCAAGGACTCGTCGCCCCGATTACTCGACACGATCTTGTAACTGCATTTTTTT